GGATCAATGAACTACCTATGAGATGGCAAAAGTGCATAGATAACAACTAATAAATGAATATATTATAGTGATTTAATAAATATATTGTATTAAAAAATATTCGTATGTAAGGGCCTAATATTTAATTAAGCTCGATTTATTTATATCAACACTATCAACAAAAACATCAAAATTTAATGGAATTGCCTATTTTATGTCGATACAATTGTTTCTTGTGTCTTGTCTTGTTATCCCGCAATAGCAGTAGTATTTTACGTTAAAATTTAGGTGGCTGATGTCGATATATTTTGATAATTGTATAGAAGTGCAAACGAAGTTGATACCATGTCAAATCTATCTATGATACCTACACTGAGATTAATCTAGGGATGATAGAGCTCATTTTCATCGTAATAATGCAGATATTGACAAATCTTTGCCTGCTCTTCAGGCATCGGCTATGGGTTATAAGCCCATATTTATAACATCCATTATAATGCAGACCAAACAAATTAATTGTTATTTTCTTAATGAAAAATGCTTGAAAAACCACTTCATCCCTGGTTCTCTGAGATCCCATCTCAAAACCGTTTTGTCTTCAAAGATCACAATATCAAATCGTCTATCATTATTATAACGTATAAAATATAATATACGCAATAATATATACATTATATGTATAAGGACTCAGCTATGACTACTATTTATCGTGTAGAAAAATTTCAAACAATAACGTATAGGCAATAAGTATTCTAAGACGTTCAACAAACAAAACAACTTCATGCTCAGTGGGGGATTAGGTCATTAGAGATATAGTAGGCAGGTATCACGTAATTCACAAAAAAGCTGCAGAATAAAAATAGAGTAGCAAGCGTTGTACCGTAAACACCACGACCGACGTTGCATTGGAGGCAAATATGGCTTTATCTCAACGGAATACGGCTGTAGTAAACGCCATGTTACTTTTTTATGTGCAGTGTGTTGTACTAGTGTGTGCCAAAGAACAAGTTTACACATCATCGCGCGGTGTTTATATAGTTTACCTCCCGAACACTTGGAAATCTCAGCAAATGACTGATGTAACGCAGCTAGTGATAACTGAGGTAATATAAAATAGTACAATTACAAAAATATATTATTACGATTGTTCGTAAAATTTTAAAAAGTTCGATAAATTAAAAGGGAATCCGGATTATTCATTGTCGTTTTTAGGAGTAGAACATTTATAATTGAGTAGCTCAATGGCGTTCATGGGATGGGTAATCAAAGATTTTGTATCCTGAGCTCCTCCATATTTATAGATCCTGTATGGATCATCTCTAAAAACTCACATTCAATTCAATGAAAATAACAGGCATCATAGAATAAGTAATGTTACTACATCATAAAATAAGTACTGATTAAAACATACGTCAAACAATTTCGTAGATGTGTTAATTAATATATTAAAATAGTTTCATTTAAATTATGGTGAGCGCACTTACATATTTTTTTTCACAACGCGACAAAACACAAGCCAATTATATTTATATAAAGAACTGACGTACTCTAATGTTTAAAACACCTATTTTGATTGTCATTTAAACGCAAAAACATAGATGTCAATTATATTTGACATAATGACTTCACTTCTCGTTGTAATGAATGAATTCAGATATAGAGCAGAGGAAAAAACACATGTTTGGCTGATGGAGAATCTTAAAAAATGTTGACAATAAAAAACAAGATATACTAACCACACCCATGACATAACGACGAAGAACAGCCTTTGTATTAATATAAAAATGAACATATCTACTCAAGTATTTACGAATTACTGTCGATATCTATCGATTAGAATATAAAGTGTCAATAATACGCCTTACCCGCCTTCAATAAAATCAACCTTTATCTAAGCCGCGGTATTTTTCATTTAAAACGGAGAATAAATTAATCTATACAAGCAACACACATTTTTGTGGAGACATGATGTAATTCGCAATTACACAGTGGGTATATTTTTTCTCTTCACTTAGTTTAATATGAATAGATGAAATCTCTTTTATATATATTTTTTATATTGCCTATTTTCAACACACACGAACCATTGCTGCTTTATTCGGAGTTTTATGTCTATATTACATTGTTTTATATATTACACTTAACAAAGTTATAGTAGGGGTTAAGTTTATGAAAGAGCTGCCACAAATCACAATATGAGTAATAAAACAATGAGAAATAACAAACGGAGCAATTGTAAAGTTGGAGACGTAAATCTTTAGTAATCAAGCACCTTTCGTGAACTATAACCTTGCATGTTTTACACCCTTGCTGTTTTATGGTGTTATATTAACAATGGCGCATCAACATAAACTAGCCATTGTTGCAGTACAAAATTAATGGGTACAGGGGGGTACAATTCATAAATTAAAAACATAATATTTTGTTAGCTTAAGGTTAAGTTGTTAAATACGATACATACTCAAGAATATGTTAGTGTGTAGTTTTGCTTGGACAGATAAGGGTTTAATGGGGAATTTAAGGAATGTTAGACTGCGATACCCACATCCAAAATTCCTGAAGACCCGAACTTTGATGAATTCTTGTGAAATTAAATTAACAAACATAAATCCTGTGGCAAACTATCACAAACACGGTAATCTATTTTCTTGGTTTTCCAATATCATTCTTTATAAAACACGCAAAAACCTTAGAAAAAAACATATAAAAAATCTGGACGCTTCTGTTATCAATCATGTTAGCAGATCGGTCGGTAAGCTCATGAGGATAATTTTAGCTTCATTTTGACAAATCAATCCGAGCTTTAGATACGTGGTAGAGGCGCAGGTGGCTCACACGCCGGTTTTAAAAAAGAACCTTATCCTAAAATCATTAAATTTCAATTGATTTTGTACACACAGCAACAATTCAGATAAGTATAAAAGGGTTCATTTCTCCAATAAATTAGGGAATTAACTGTCAACAGATGAATGCTGTAAATAGATCGGAGAAATAACGTTGTGCAAAACCCTGACGTGTTGTCGACTGTACAAAGTAATAACAATCAAAATAGTTATAATTAAATATGCGAAAACGACATCATAAGGATAGTGATTCGGTATAATTACCAAAAGAAATGAAAATATGATAAATAGACTCCGATTATTTTTTATAGAGAAAATTTTACGTTTTGCACCTTCAGTCATATGATGTAGTTCCCTTATTTTTAATTACAGCGGCTATCAGCTACAAATTAAGAAAAAATTCAGAATTTGGGTATCCATATTTCAGTACCAAATTTCGCTACGAAGAAAATGTTATTGTACTCGAATCATGAAATTGACCAGTCAGGCGACAATTAATATCGTCACAAAATATCACACTAATGAAAATACAAGAAAAAAAATAAAATAATAGCTGCGAACAAAGGAAATTAATATAGCGCAAAGCGCTCCATCAAAGTCCATTTAGGGCGAAAATAACATCAAATGACCTCTTAGAGTTCATATTGAAACAGCCACGTTACCAGACATCTTCAGTGATGTCGTCGTCGCAAAACATCAGAATTTTAAAACATGCAAATCTATGAAACTTAACTACCTGCCCGCTAGGGTAGCTCGACTGAGGGCATCAAGAATTCCCAAGGTGAATGTAAAAAGTATCTCGTGCATGGGATCACAAGCGGGCCACGATAGTTAGAATTTTAAAACCGCTTCAATAATGTATAACGAGCCTAATTTTACATTCTGTTCTGCATAATAGTCAGAACAGTTTACGATTTAGCACCCACAAACGCTCAGACAATTCAATTAAATTTCAACTATAAAATAAGGCGTGAAATCTTTAATTTTGCGCACCCTAGCATAGACACGAAATATGTGTGTAACTTAGACACATCGTTAATAAACATTTCTTTTTTTACATAATATAATCATAGATCCCCAGAATTTATATTAGATACGGTCAGCTTTCGAATCTTTTTATGTGCATTTAGTTAACCTACCTGGATTTTGATCGAAATCTACTTTCAGTTTACCTTTTCGAGTTCATTATAATTATGAAAATTTTCTTTGAAAAACATTAATGGATCTCCATATATTGCGAGATTACAAGTAGTAAAACAAAAGTATATTTAAACAGAAAACCATTAAATATAAAATATACTAAATTACCAGTCATAAAGTAGGACAAGTATGTATTCAACTATAATCATATCAAAACACTAACACCGAATGATATTTATTCCAAACGTAATAACATAGCACTGCTAGATCTAAATCTAATATATCACGCAATGGCTGGAAGCCAGGCCAAAATTCATATAAGAAATATTGTATCATGCTAAGTGGCTTTGAGGGTAATAAAAATATTCAAGGTGAAGAAAATTTTACCAACACAAATTCATAATTATCTATATAAAATATAGATATATTTATTGCTTAAGATGTATGTCGTATCGACCTTTTATTGGAAGCATTCAGGAGAATAATTTGACAGTCAAACAAGCTTGATGAAGACGCCCATGACAGTTCTGCTTCAATGCGTAGCACAAAGTAAGACATTCATATATAATCATGACAAGGTCATTGCCATTGAATGGCATCGTGAAGGATAGAAAAATATATTAAATGATATTATAGCCAAAAGTTTCTAAGTTCCAGATATGTTGGAAAAGTTGTTATGCAAGAAAGTAACGTATACAATTGCTACGAGTACATCATATTTGTTGGTTCAGAATAAGTTTGATTGATGTTGACATGCAATAAGAATTTCTATTATTACAATACAGGAATAGACGACCTAGACGAATTGGAATATAAGGCGCTTTCTTTTTATATCAATTCACTTTCTTGTCGTGAATGATCCGAAGGGTGCTGAAAATTGTTAGAACAATTAGACGTCTCTAAAAGTCACAATAGAAGAAACGCTCAACAAAGCCACCTACCGTTCGGTACCGATATGATGTCAGTCTAGTTCATTAGTTCATGAAACTCTCACGATATTATTTCACAGTCATAAGCCATTAAGAAATCTAAACTCACCTATATACTCCATAATGTTTCCCTGACGCCCTGTCCCCACATATCGAGCACAGATGTTTGGAGCCACTGAGCGGATGATTTGGGGGATAGTTTTTAAATGCCAGGGGAGAAGTGGCGTCATCTCGGATCACGTCCAATAACGCCGTGTCCGGCTTCATCTCCGGTGGGGACATCGGCGACATGAAATTGCCGTCCACGCCCAACCCTGCAGACAAATAAAGACCTTCAGCTTTTGTATATTGAATTTGATGATTTTCTTCTTTGTAATGTATCCTATATATTTATGTGATAAATAGTATTGTAATTAATCTTTATAAATCATAACTGAAGTTGATAGCCACTTAAAAGGTAACTTTATTCTTTGGACATTGATGCAAATAAATATCTATTAACATTTTAGCATAGCAACATTTTATAAAATTTCCGTAATATTCTTTTTCTTTAATAAATATGAGAAAAAAGGCCCACCTTTTATAATAATTCATCTTCATTCAACAGCAGCGGAAATACTAGCTCTTAAAGTAAATTAGCAATTTATTTTCTCTTAACATAGGAAAGTGATTACCAACGAGCAATTGCTCACTGAAGCGTAACTGAGATTATAGCTTGTTTATGTGCAGCAAATTTGTCTTTAAGCTCGTTCAAGAATATGATGTTTTTGAAATGAACTTTTACAACGCAGTTAAATGAAACGGAAACATATTTCTATAAAATCAATTAGAGAACCAATGGATTGGACGAACGCAGAGGTTAACATACTTTCAATCTATTTATCGTGTTGAGCGACTAAAATTGCGTTATATCAAAGCTCCCGCATAATTCGTAAGGTGGCACCTAAGCTTTAGTTTCATTAGCAGTTGCTTGTAATACTCATTAGGCCACATTATACCTCATGCTGGTTTACGGACCTTTCTCCCTACCGTTAACCATGTAGACTTACACCCCACTAGTAAATATATTAATAGAACGATAACGACGATCACAGTATGAAAATCTATTTCATATACTAAATTAGAAAGATATTGAGTAATAAACAATAATAAGGTAAATAAGATGGCAGAGGAATTTAATATACTACCAAATGTAATAATTTTTTTATTGTTATTAGAAAATCAAATTATTAAGAAGCAAAATTCACTGATTTTTTTTTTCATTTCCAATAAAAATTTAATCGACTAAAAACCACTAGAAAGATAATTCCTAACAGTGTTATTAATGAACAAGGTTTAGCGTTGGAGTAAATTTACGCTGAGACTGCACTTAGTATTAGTGACAGAGATTTAACGTAGGTAAATCTACTACAAGGTTCTACCGGATTAATATTTAGTGCAAGAAGGTAAGTAGGTTTGCTTATTCTCTGTATAATATAAATTTGGACTAATATTAAAATTTCTACCCTCCAATCCACATTGGGCCAGCGTGGACGGTCATTGCCCATCCTCCTTAACCATAAGGAAGGCCCCTGCAGTGGGGACGTAAAAGGGCTGGTGATGATGATTAAAATTGCAACTTAAGCGTAAATTTACTCTGACGCTAAACCTTGTTTATTAATAGGACTGTAAATGATTAATTTGGATGTTCATTTATTGAGAACAACTAAAACACTTTATAGGCATAATCAAGTTCAACATAACGATTCGAGTTGTTATTTTGTCCACTTAAAGATATTAAGAATTAAAGGTTATTGCATTTTATTAAGAATTGCGATCCTGCTCCGTCGCCATCGTCAATGTCAGTGGGTCACCAATAAGAAAATACTTAGTTGTTAAATAATGCAAAAAACTGTTGATATAAAAATATCTCACGCTTACTTATTACGAAATCTAAGGAACGATTACGCCCATAAATGGAACTGGGTAATGGAACAGTAAATAACACAAAATGAATTCGCGAATATGAGAAATAGAATTCCATGTGAACGAATTCCTGACCAACAGCTTATTTAATTTTTTACGCGAGCGTAATATTTTTATAACCAGTCTTATTTCTGATTGCAAATAAAATAGTCTAAGAAACATGTTGGCATTTGTACTTTTTTAAGAATTACAAAAGAAGAGAGAACTTATGAAACGTAGACACGTTTTCGCCAAAACGACAAAAGCAGGCATTCAACAGGAGCATTATTTTCAAATGCTTGACAAAAAATGTATGCAGACGGTTCCGAAAAACCAACAGAACCGGTCCATTAGTCCGAGGGTGGAACAAGCCACGGTAAAAAGAAAATAAACATGCTAGTGACGCAAGCAACCTTCCCTCCCACTCCAATACATATAAGGAAAGATGGATTATTCATATAACTTCAGTACGAACAAAATACATAATTAAGACAGTCCATTTATCCTATCTTACGAACATAATAAATGCGAAATAATGTGAAAAAATTACACAAACACTACTGATGGATTTGGATGGTTTAAGACTGAATTATAATATAAGCTAATTTTTATTACACTCAACTGTTCCTTAGGAATTAATGAACTGGCCAGTTATCGTGTTAACCACTCAGTTGAAGTCTCTAGCGCAAAACTTGTAACCATAAATGTTCATATATCATATTGCACAACATTTCACAACCCAAAACGCATATTGATAACATTGGCAATTTAATCTAATCTCTCAGATTAATATCAGCCCTGCGATTCTGAAAAAATTCGAACCCGAATTCGAATTCACTCATGTGTCCGAATTCAAGTAATTTAGTAAAGAAATTCTATTGATTCCATTTTTTGTATAAAAATACAAAACCAAATTTATTGATTATACGTGTCTCAAATATTTTATTCCTGTGTCAATTCGGAAATTACTTCATATATGCCACGAAACGTTATTACCAATTCAAGATTGAGCGGATGCCGCTTTTTGAAATGAATTAAAACACCTGAGTGGATTCAAATTCGCGTTTGAATTTTTACAGAATCGCAGGGCAGTTCCTGAGTTTTGTTTGCCCACTTTTGAGGTATAAGACGAATACGGTGGATTTAACTGTGATCACTTAACACCTTTGAATTTACCTAACTGTGCCCGTTAATTTCGCGCTTAAACTCCGCACTAAATATTTAAGTAAATAATGAATGGTTAAATAACAACGACCATACCTTTGATGCATTTTAAAAATCTTTCACATGATATCAGCCCACAGACAGCTGCATTTGCTAACTCAAAGAAACGTCAAAATATTTTAAAAACTCACTTTTATCTTTTTTGTGATTTCAGATATGGTAATTTGCTGATGCATTATCCAAAAACCTTGAGTAACTTTACAAACCTCAGAATGATTCAAAGGTCTCAAAATCCGAAGCAAGAAAAGCAATCATAAACTTAAAAAAAATCTAAGCGCATTCTCTCATCGTCTGAACAAATAGACAGTTCCAAATCCAAGGTGATGCTCGCTATATCACACCCAATTATATCGGTTTCAGGAGTAAATCCAATTTATTATGAGGTCCTACGTATGTATGATAGTAGAGTTATTATTGATTGAACCAATAATTTGTTTATGGACGAGACGAAGGTTACATATTGCGAATAAACATAAACGTACTATAACGCCGTAAATCAATTTATGTTTTTAGTTTATTCATGTTTAAGGTACAAAAGCTTGGATGAAGTATTTTTTTCTTAGTACTGAAGTGAAATCAGAGAATTTTTCAAATAGCATTAATTAGTCGATGTGTGTATGAAGTTGAAATGCTAGTACGAAGAAACTCTTTTTAAATTTAACACTAAAGCCACCGATTTGTTTTTTATTAATTATACACGGCTTCGTCCTTCGAGATTAGCAAGAAATGTTAACATTGTAGTATCGCCGTTCTTGCATTGTTAACATTTCTTTTTACTGTTGACAAATCGTATAGTTATGATAGAACGTCACTTACAGGTAAGTAATTGAAAATTGTAACTTTACTTACTTCAATGAAGATTGGCAGATTGGTAGACTGTATGGATAGCGGATTAAGACGATGCGTATGAAAATAAAAATATTATAGATTTGTCTCCACTAAGATAACAAAGCAATCACATCACATTTTTATAAGTTAAGCATCGAGATAAATTCATCCAAGTTATCAATAATTTGGCGCCAGCCCATTGACAAGTTTAATAACAATGACGAAATATGTTTTTTTGTATAATCGCACTTTTTTTCTCCGAATTTCTGAAAACCAAAATCAACTAAAGCAAATTTCCAAGTATAGCTGTATATTCTAAGAAATAGTCTACATTCTAGAACTTAATTTAAAAGCGCCTAGAACTGCCCTTGTTCATTATAGTAAATTGTGTTCTACGGGTTCTTCTACTAATTTAGGTACTATTATATTACTTAAGCTTCCTTATTTAATGAACTTCAACTAAATAAGATATAAATAGGACTTCAATATTCGTTCTTAGTTAATTTGGGACACAAAAAAAATGGATAAAAGATAAATACATTTGAAGACTTATCAGCGACACAATAATGACGACGACGTATTTTATACTATAATATTTACAACCATTTAATATCTTTTTGACAGTTACTCTAGAACGTAACTGTTCAGTGATTCGTAAAAAGAAACTTTACAATTCGTGATATTAAAAATATAAAAGTATTTAATTATATATATATATAACTTACTTATTCCACAATACAAACTTTAAAATCCCTTAACTGTGTCGCTTTCTTTTAATATGAAAATTCATTTGCTTAAAAAAACAGTTACGTACTATGGCAATTAGTGGTGAATCTCTTTATAAATCTTTTATCTCTCCCAGAAGACGACCAGTCTTTAGAAAAAAAAACAAAAACTAAATGTTATGCATACTTAAATTAAATATCAATTAAAACTTCTCCTAAATAAAATCGATTACTAAGATAAATCGAATTGGTAATGCACTAGTACATCACTATTTGATCGGTACTCGAATTGTCAAAAAGATATTAAACGTTTGGAAAGATTATAGAAGCAAAGATAAATATAAAATACAAGTACTTAGTAGAGTAAGGTAATTTAAGCTGTCATCTTTTCTATTTCTTTTATAATGACTTAGTTAAAATGAAAGTTTGACAAAGATCAGTGATGATTTATTAACATTATGAAATTAATTTAAACATTATAATGAATATCGCGTCGGTGCTCGACTTATTTAATTTTAGCGAAGGGTATTTTCGGTTCCCCAATATTATTTTCAATCACATAAGTGGTGGTTTATTTTAATAAACAAAACAAAAACATCGCCTCGTTCTAGATCCATATTGAAAATAACATAGAATAAGAAAATTTGGTTCGGTACATAATAGTTAAATAATTTTGAAAACAACCTACACCAAAGCTTTGAATTAAATTTTATGTAAACACACGATGAGTGTAAAAAGGTGTTTTTGTCAAAAAGTTCATATATTACTTGCCAAATTTCAAACTACACAAAAAATAAGAAATGTAATATATTCTGTGGTTATAATAAACTACTTTTTAAATAGCTCCAAATAAATAATATTGTTAAACAGATGCATGACCGGTTCGATTTTTTTCCTTTTTCAGTTATTATGAGATCCTTTTAGTAAATGTACCCAACAATTAATTGCTATGAACATACATATAACTTTTTATATGAAATAACATTATTAAAATTAATGGTGGACATTATTCAATTCTGTATGATAAATTACGGACTATGCCGAGAAGAGCTAATAATGTAGGTATTGGTTTAAAATGCTTTATTCATGTGGATGAATTGAACAAAATTCTTTTAAAGAATCTAGAACAGACAATTTCACTGATGATACAATACGTTTATTAGACAAGTACGGCATAGAATAACAAATTGATGGATCCAAGGACCAACCCGATATAGTCCCATTATAAGTCTTTAAAAGAGACGCTTAAAAAAGAAAAGTCACCAGGGAAAGATGTTATGCCAGTTGAAATACTTGAAAGAATGGATGTAGCAGACATAGTTGTAGGTAAGGATTCCCTGCAATGATTCGCAATCGATGGCAGAAATATGTTTGTGCTCGAAAATCCTCTGTCATGTTGAATCTACAGTAAAGAACATGCTGAATAAATAGAAGCAAACATGCAGACAGAGGCTCTGCACTATTCCTCTCAATAAGTATAGGTACAATATCGTGATACAATCCTATTGTTTGTTTGATACCCAAATACATTTTTAATGGAATACCTTATTTTTAATAAAGCCATAAAATGTATAATTATGAACGTCAAGTAAGCTAGACATTTTCATATTGAGACCATGCCTTGTGGTGCTAAGCTTTGGTCAGTTATTCTATAAAACAAAAGCGATGTGCTACCGCAGCATTACAGGTACTACCAAATAAACCTTTATAACTTTTTAAAATAGGTTTCATTTGAATTAAACTCTTTTATTTTGGGACAACGCTCTGTTCCACTTTATATATTTAACAGAATAGGACTGCATTCTCTCTGCCAATGATACAGTGTGAAGATATACAGCTAGTTCCACAAACGTCCATTATAATTTTCATTAGTTTAAAGCTACATTACCGCTACAAATTAAACATACATTAGAGCCTAAAGGCGTCTTTAAACCTTAATGGACGTTTGTGTTACTAGCTGATAGACTCTTAGGAACATATTGAGATTGGATTCAAGACATTTTAAAAGTATTTCATTTGAAATCGATGCAGATGTAGCTAGATTTTATACACATGCTGCGCCAACAATATCACGAACACTTATCAAAGTTATGACCCGATACTTTTAAAATACATCTACAGACCCCTATAAGTTCGGCAGAGATGGTCATAAAACTAAAGCGTGGCTTTTACAAGCTCGTAGAGGTTTTAAATCAAGTCTATTACCGGTTTAGGAGCACTACTTTGTATTGAAAATAACTTACATTTTTTTCTTAAAATATTTGTAATACCATCAAGTTACGAATTGAGTAAACTTTTTATGTGTACTATATTGTCGTGCGGAACGTCAAATAATACAACAAAAAGTTTAATACAATGTATGATATCGCGATAATCCTATTATACAACTTCATTTTCACCGATGTCATCTCTTTGCGAAGTGAGATCTCATCTGAATGTAATTACTATATATGTACGTATGTCTAATCTATCTAAACAGATGAAAGTATACGACAGATTCACGGTATGAATTTAATCAAATACACGCATTCACGTAAAGATGAAGAATATATTTTGATTATTTACATTAGTTATTCCTTATAATTTTTATACAAATATTATAGTTTAAAGGTTATAATAAAAGTACAGTTTCAGCCATTACATGAAGTGGTATAAGGCAAACATAATAAAAAACAGTAGCTATATACCATTTTATTTCAAGACCTGACCACAATAAAACGTAATCCAAAATATAAAAAAAACTGTTACTTTTTAAAAAACGGCGAAAAAGGCGAAGGGATCTGGCGGTAAGTAAATATATTCTATGTTCGACTGATGTGTATGTTTTTAATACAACTGTTATGTTTGTGGCTACATAACACTACCTACTCGCAATGTTCTGGAAGGTTCTCTATGAATCACGCTAGATACCTTTAACTGGCATTAGTGAAACATGAAAAAAAATTGCTCTTAGCTCTAACGTGGTATGTAAATTATAGAAGAGCATTGAAAATGCGCCTGATATTTTTTTAAATTAATTTACATAGCTTTAACACTTACAAAGTAGACAACCGCGCTACAGGGTTCGTCGAAAACTTTTGCACGCCTTAGTAGTGATCATGATCACTATCAAAAATCTATTATTTGAGATATATATTTTTTCATCATTTCATCAATTAAATATTTCCTACCACTTACTTCAAAACTACCAGGAATCGACAAATCATATATTTTGTCGAACAAATATTATCAGACTGATTCAAAGAGAATTTAAATCAGTACGAGTCTAAAATAAATTAAAGAAGTTTGAACAAGACCGCGACGAATAACATGGGTTTATAACGAGGCACGCTGAAGGGAGTAAAATGGATTTTAAAATGGTATCTATTTTTCAGAGCAAGGCACTGAAACCAGCCAGTTCATCACCCTTATTTATATTTTTGGATTTATAATTGCAGGTATACTACTACGACCTTTATGCTTAATTTTTAATTCCTTGGAAACGAATGTTGTCACAATTAATAGGTAGCTTGAACTTTACTAAGTATGTATGTAGTTAATAAAATAATCACGCGTTCTATTGATTTATCGATTACTTTCAAGGTTCTAAACGTGTCATTTGCGTATCGTCCGCATTGATTAACATTTAATAAAACATGTGGTACAATCAGTGCGATGTTTGTGTTAGTTTACATACATTGCAGATCCATAGGGCAGTCGACGTTTGGTATGGAGGGCATGTCGAGCGACTGTAGAATGGATGACGCGGGCACTGGTGTCGCCGGTGGCGGCTGCTGCGGGCCCGGCGGCGGCGGCCTCGCCCAGTTGATCAGCGCCGTCACCGACATCGTCGGTTTATCTTTCTTCGCCACGCTCGACATGGCAATGCACTAGCATCCTCACATCACTAGCGGCACTGCACTCCGCCGATAAACGCGACAAGACTATACAGAAACACAGCTGATCGACCGTGCAGCCTCTTCGACAATTGCAAATATAAATACGTACCGAATACCTAGCTTAGGAACGTAACTGAATATCTAAATGATATACCGAAAGTATGCGACGAGTGACGCGAGTGAAATATGGCGAACAAAAGCATCAAAACAACCCGGGACAAAGCAGACATAGTTGTAACATTGTGATAGCGATAACATAAGTATTGCACTCGACGCGTCGCCCGTGACTCGCTGCGATATCGCACACTGCAATACGTGAACGATGCGTCGCGAGCCCCACCATCGCCACTAAGCAAGTGACTAATGCGCAATTCAACGAGCTCGATTTTGACAAAAAAAACATAGGTACCCGGCGACTTCCGCGCGGTTACCGGCGTGAAGGTCTCACCCGGCGCGCTTCAAGGTCCGCATACAATCATATATGAATAAATCTCATTTTATGTAGAAAACGAGTAGTTTTTTGCCATTAACGAGCAAATGATACTGAATTGGAATATGTAATTTTAAATATTTTATAGTTATGACGGAGGCATCATCTAAATAATTGGAGTTGTTAGCGGTCGGCCTTCGTGATCGTGGTCGCGCGGTTCTGTAATTAAGTTTTACGTCACTCGTGCATGGCTCATAGACCGAACTCCCAGAGCTAGCCTCTGCCATGCACATCAAAAACCATTATTGAAACATTTTGTTACTCGGGAATTCATTTTTCCATAATAGAATGTCAATACTCCACTCCTGATTATTGAAAAAACTAATACATATACGGTTAGTTGCACAAATGTCCATTAAGGTTTAATGACGTTGAAGACGTCATTCTCTAATGAATGGCAAACTTGTATGGGAAATGTCACTTTAATCTAATAACGGTTTGTGCAACTGGCTGATAGGCAGTCAAATAATTCACGCACTTCAATCTTTACTTAGACATAATTAAAGGCGGGGTTTCAATGGCCCTTCAGGTTACAGTTGAAGATTTAAAATGGGTAATTATTATCACGACAAAGAAACGTTAATAAAAATTTAGTAACTCGCTCTCGAACCTTTTGCAAGTAAGCATATGGTTTGTTTACAAATATTTGGAGACACATGTGCGGCCTTGGCTCTACCATACATTTATAGTGCACGTGTTCGAAGTTAAGAGAACGCAAAAAATCTTGTATCCGCACTATCCGGTGTCGTAACATTCGCCTTCAAACAGAGCAGTAATACTAACAGTTCAATACAACTAATAACTAACTAGATATGATGAAGAGAAAATATTATTCTTATAACAATCAATATGACGCAAGCACAACAATAAGTATAAAACTAAATACTTATAAAAGATATCGAAATATCTTTAATGGAGGTTTTAATAATTAAGACTTAAAGCTATATAAATACAGCAGGTATATTATACAGGGAATATTGAGAATTATTAAGACTACATATCTGACGAGATTAAATTACAAATAGACTATCGGTCTGTTGCATAAACGTCCATTATGGTTTAATGACGCCTTTAAGCTCTAATGAATGTCAAATTTGTATGGGTAATGGGTAAAATGGCTTTAAACAAACGACAATTTTAATGGACGTTTGTGCAACTGGCTGTATGTGTAGCGAAGATAATTAAAGAAACATGTCCAATTTTGACCTAAAAATTAATAGCGTGTCTAGTGATGTTATATATCTCAAAAAGTAGCTTATTTTTTCATATTACATATCAGGAAATTGAATTTTAAAATAGAGTCAGGATAAAAATTGCGAATATAATAATTATTTTTAAATAGTACTATGATAACTACCCAAAAGCGATTCGTATCCTATTATGACGGTATGCTACTAGTATCCGACCGAAACTGGTTTTTATGACCGAATCCGAAACCGAACCTTTATTATTTATGTAATGAGCTTCACCTTAACTAACTTCGTCATTTTGTAAACTTAAAAAAGAAACAAACGCTAAACTACTAAAATAGAAACGCAAAGATTGCAAATGGCAACGATTAAATACTAATAATTACAAGTGGGTATTGGTAATCGTTATTACTTAGTAGTATTCGTAATTCAACAATCTTATAGTAACAAATGTTTGTATAGGTAAATCATTATCGAGAGAGTTAACAAAAAAATATTCAGATAGGTTAAACTTGATCATACTATAATCTATGAACTTTTTAGTTTATTATTTCGAATAATGGTTTGATGATTACTACCTACTTTCTACTACATCGTGTAACAAAACTTACTGAATCCAATATAAGTAACATCAAAACTCACAACAATCAAAAGACAAGCCAATCACATGATTAGTCACGAAGACGCGTCAATTGTCTTCGTCGCCGATTGGATGAAATTTAATGCGCCGACCAAAACCAACCAATCGGAAAGCTAGAACGCTTTAATGCAGTTTCGGTTTAAGTCGTAGTTTCGGCAGGTTTGCCACCGAAACCGAAATTAAACCGAAACTCGTTATTTTGCCGAAACTCACCGAAACCGAAAATTCGGTCGAACACTATTTGCTACACTACCCCAATGCGATTCCGAAGGTAAAAAAGTACACGTCAAACTATAAAAAAGCTTTAATTTTAATGCATTAATTTTTAAAGTAGCTTGACAATTATCTCTAGTTTTGACAGCTGTTACAACCTCAAAATATATTTTACAAATTACGAATCTTCCTGGCCTCCAAATTAAAAAATGCTAAGAAATTATTATATTTTAAGCAAAAACTAATTTTAATTATAATGGACAGACGCGACTTTAAATGTGACAGGTCAATCCATGTATGGAAAGTGGACATAATTCTTTCATCCATCACACAGAAAAGAGTTATATTATAATAAATATATTAAAGATCTCTCCCAAGTGTTTTGAAAAATAATAAAACCTTTTACTGTTTACAAAATATGACAAAATTTAATTCTATTGTAATTTTATTGGAGCATTAAAAATATATGTACTTGGCTGACATCCTATGTAAGTTATTATACAATCAATAAGAAATAATATTGTGTTATTCTAATAAATCATAAGATACAGCACAAGTGGGAAGATAATATTCGAGCACAGTACAAAAGAAATTCATAGAAGCGCAAATTCGTACCCTTTCACGTTCCGTGAAGAATGTACATTATAGGTCCACATTATACCGAACCTGTCAATCAGGCAGTCTCCTTGACTACGGGCGAGTCTATGAAATTGATAGCCTCTCTCTTGACAAGAGAGGTTTCTCGGCTTGAGACAATTTAGGCGTATTGTGTGTCACGCCAGAGCCAGTGACCGTGTAATAAATAACACGTCAAATATAATATTTACTATATTAATAATTACACAGAACTATTGGTAAAATAACAAGAGTTTAATATGCTAATATTTAAGCCTCCACAATATCGATGAATTACTCCTATACCTACGATATGATGTTTGAAAACATGGCTAAAATGCAAGCCTTACATAGGAAAATAGCAAATAAATGAGTTATTAAAGTGAAATCATCATTATGGATGTCACTTATTTTCACAATAGTATCCAATCCCCTTTTACACTTACAAAATTTTAATAACGTGTAAAATTACTCAATACTATCTAAAGTAACATTAACATTCTTTTGAATGTTCAGCGTGTGCGTTCTAAACATTATCAAGGAATGTACTTTCGTGAAGTTGATACGAATATACTTTCTTCGGTACGCATAACGTGCATGCGTCGTGCAGCGAGTGTAGGTCCCCCCACTGCCCCCATCCCTACTCTGTTATCGATCTGTACCGACCTTGACTTCACACTCGACAGTCACACACAATCCACATTTTCAATATCGACGCGCGCGCACATCTTTACGCTTTATGAATTTATGTTTTAGCTTACTTTTCTTGTCATATTCTTTGAATTCACACTCAAATAAAATCACATGGTGTGGTTTCACATTTCTTAAATATTTTATTAAATGGAAGAATTTTATGATCCAGAAATCTCAATTCAGTTCCTAAATCTTGGAATATGATCGAGCAGTACACACAAAAGTGTCAAAAGCAATCAACGAGTCGTCCCCTGATAAGGTCAATTTCTAACGACCGACAACAATGCACTTACAAACAATTGCATCGTTTATTGATAGCGCAGCGGTAGTTCAGAACGATAAGTCAAATGACCGTCCTAGACTTGACCCGGAGGCGAGTGCTTGTGATGTGACTCAAGTGAGTGGGGGCGGTGAGGTGCGGCGGCGTGCATTCGCCGCGAGATATGGGTAAACGGAGCGCAGACGAGCGTCACCGCGGGGGCCTGCGACCTTGGCGATTCGCTGACGACTACAGGTGTTTTTTGTTTGTACACGAGTCCACTGAGCAACTCTGTGGCTGTGGTGACCAACGGCGAACGAGCGAGGTGCGGGGAACGTAACCGGAACTTAACCCGAAACAATGTCCCTGGACAAAATTGATACTTGTTTTAATATTACTGTAGATAATTTAACTCTGATAACAAGGGCATTCAAAATAATTGATTTAACTTATGAGCCACATTAAGGTCACCACAACCATAATACAGTTTTCACGTTTGTGTTGGTCCTCATGTATCAGTGGGATCTGATACAGCAAGTATCCCTAGACAATTTAATATACATTTTTAACGAGTAGCGTAGCAAAGTATAGACTATTGACTCAATAAACAAGAACTTAGTTCTGGAAATTTATTTGTGTGAGGGGTGTCATTCTGAGGACCGCTAAAGATTTCCAGACTTTCCCAAATACGTATAATTTAGCAGACAGAACTTACTAAAAAGACTTTGCCTATTAACGAAGAAAATTCTTTATCAATGCCGCATAAATGTGAGTATGCAGATGTACGCAGTAGAGATCAAAGTCTGAGCAAAATCTGGAAGAATAAAACTATCAAAGGTATAAACATATTTGAAACGCACGACCAACAAAATAATAAGATTAACTTAAAGTAAATAAGTGGGATAACGACTAATAACACTGTGTCAACCCACTGGGTAAACCCAAACCAATAACACTATGACAAACGTTGGTTTAACAAAATAAACTATTATTAAAGAATAAAAGTATGTTATTTTAAGTTCAAAAGCAAAAAAATATATAGGTACTTAATGCTCCTTTTACTTAATTTTTGGACTAGAAAATTGAACGTATCACTCATTCTTGATAAACATTCGGTTGATGTGTAGGGGAAGAAACTTGATCTGATTTTTTTAAATTTGATCCGAAAGTGGATATGGCTTTATTTGGAAATATGAACCCTAAAAAATTTTAAACAGGGGTAACGTTGCTTATATAGTTACTCTTTTAATTTACCTACTCTATACTTTTGGACGTTGGCCGATTCCGTACTTGTGTTTACTTCATTTATTTCCAGTAAAACTATAGAAAATATTGAGTAGATAATAACATTAACAGAAAATATTGAGTAGTAAAAACCTTATTAGTTAACTTCTTATTTAATTCAGCATACAAATCAAACTGGACTAAAAACGTAAAATTGATAAAAATAATCTGCTTTTTTTTATAAATTTGCTGTTAAGGGAATGCAATGTTGATTCCAAAATCGAAAACGGTGATACTACAGATACTATAGATTTCTCAACACACATAAGCCTAGTACTCATAATATATGGATAAGAAACTGCCAACAAAATACAACATACTCATAGAAAATAATTGGCGAACGCGAGGAGATTTTAAAGTACAGGTAACGACGTAGTTCGTAAATGTTATATTTAAACATATCGAATACTGGATAACGATCGATGTGAGTAACGAACGATCCATTGTTTGCAGATATTTAAAAACAACATAGACTTCCTATCATGGAGAGCTGTCATTATTTTATAAAGCATACCTTAATTGAAACAATCATCTAAATTGTTCCAGATTAACAGCTTATAAAACTTCAGAGATGAATAAAACCGGCTAATGGGACAGGAGTAACAATATTTTGATACAGCATCACCTATAAATATTATATGTGAAACAAACAGTTATTATGTAACAAAAGAAAACGCTAACATTTTATCGTTTACGAAGAACGTTACGTAATGAGCGCAACGCAAGACCTTGGCCCTTGGCCGTGACCATCGCTCGATTGTTCCCGTGATTTTAACACTACAGATTAGGGGAGTTCGGTCTAGATAAGCGATTAAACACATTATTTTCACATCACATTGACCAATCCATGAAAAAAGTAACCGAACTGACGTAATCGTAGAGCAAATGGCTGATACACGACCGCTAGACTTCATCGTAAGCCATTTGCTAATGGTTTTTTACATATTCATAAGAATAGAAAATTTAAACGCTCTAATGAATAAAAATCTTGATCAACTTAATTACAACATTTTTCCAAGAGGACTTAAAAAACTGTTACTTCATATTTAAAGGGAAGAATATGAATGAAATACAGAAAAATAAATTTTGCGATCTAACAATATATCAGTATTCGTATACGCAAATGTGCAAGGAAGGGTTGAATGTCATTTTATATTTGTCAATTCTGACGTTACGCGACGCATCTTCCGTCAGATATACCTAAACTCTACCTAACGGAAGTCATGCATTAAATATAAAAATTTGCTGTTTAGGTACCCTACTAAAGATGGATAATTAAAAATTTTTTTTTAATGTCTCTCTCGAATTTGGGTATTGAATGATGATAAAAAAAACAAGTGCGCAAATAATCTTGATACGTAGTGAATTAAGTATAATAACGAGGAAACGAGTTGGTGTGTTGTAAATTCACACATTAACAAAAACTAAAGTAACATATTAGTATTCCAAATGTGATTAACGTGAGGGCGGCAATGAATTCTAATAAAGTAGAAGACCTTGACAATAATACAATCCTCTAAACATCGGATAAACACATTGAGTTTTTTAATAAACATCTATTTCTTTACATTTATATTGGTAGGGATTACAAAACTGAAAAATGTCCTTGATATCTTGCACCTGTAATAATTAGAAAATTTTCCGACTGATACAGCATTATGCACAAGCAATAATATAAACTGAAGTTGACTACAATATAGATTAAGTAAATCCTATCACGTCAAAATTACGATATTAAGCCCTGATAAAATGATGCATAAAAATTTTGAAGACGACGTCACGACCACCAGACACAGATTAAAGCTTTAAGTAATTTTATTACTTATGGCATCTAGCTTCAATGAAAATGTACCGATCGCATTGGTCAACGGTTTGGCAAGTCCTCGGTAGGAAGTTACATCATCAAGATGTCAAAATATCAGAAAGAGTATATTTTTGCTTTTGATCATAGAGAACTAGACTAGATCATAGAGAAATGTGTGAGAGCGTATCTACGCTGAAATATATTCCATAATAAATGCTACATTGGAATTGCAGCAGCTAGCTCAATAGAGCACCCAGATAAATGTATTCAAAACACCTAGAGTCAATACACTTGCAACCTTGCAATGCTCTTTACGACTCGTGTCAGATAAAGACATAAGGGTATTAAAACATAAATTTTATATACAATAGGTCGCAAGAGGGAAATACATTTTACATCTGGAATTCCAGTTACCAATAAGGTTAATATTAAAAATGTGATAATAACAGATTGTCCTGTTATATCAATAAACCAATAAGTTTGATATTCATAGATCGTTTCTCTTATCTGGTTCAACATCTTATTATCATTATTTTTCAATTATCTGACACGAGAATATAGCTAAGAACCGGCTAATTTGTAAAAAACTGTATCAAGCCGTAGTTCAAGAATATAAAATACTGCGTGACTGGATTCATATTGATTTTAATATGGCGTATCAACGCCATTTTCATTATTATAATTGTAATCGCTATATAATTTTTTATACTATGCATAAATAAAAAAATCAAGTTTATGTTCATCTGTAATGACAGCAATAATTCATCCATGTGCTGGATAATGTTATGTTTTTAACACAATTAAATACTGAAAATAAAATTTAAAGTATCGAGTCGTATTATTGATTGTTGTGAAGCTTTAAATTCCAATACATTGGAAGTTTTAAATGGCAAAATGAAATTCACATAAATCCTAAGTCCGTGTCGGCAACCAAGGCATCAGGAACGCAAATGACGTCGAGACATGAGACGGTCGAAAAGCCACTAATTGCGTATTCAATATGAAAATTACGGTTGATCCTTAGAGATTAATGTGAAAACTGCGAAAACGGATCGTACATCGATTTTCAAAATCGTCACCAGCCGCGCCGTGCTCACGGCCGTTACGGGCGGCGTCGTTTCTCTGACTGCCGCGGCACGACCCCGCGCGCGCCCCTCGCGCCGCCGCCACCGTTGTTTTGCTGTATTTTCGTTGTTAATCATTCTCCTTGACCTTGTGCGACGTCGAGTGGTCCACTGCACACGACTGCGCACCCCTCGCCCTGCTAACCACCCGCGCTGCCTGTCGTCGACGCATCACACGTGCCACTTGTGCATTTTCATCCATTCCTACTGAAGCGCTGATTTCACTACCCAATCTATCGGGCACGATTTATCGGCCTCGATTTAGGGCGGTTGGCGTCGTTGTGATTACACTGCACTAGATCGCCTCCCTAACTTGAATCCTTCGTTATTAGCCTGATAACCGACATATTAATGGGACGCGCTTACATTTTTAAATCTGGGTCATATATTCGTTGCAACTTAAATATCTTTAAAGACATTAATTTGTCATATCTTACCAAGCGTCATTCACATTAGACCTTATTGTAGCAGTAAAAACTCGTTTCAGTTTTACCTCATTACACATTTCAGTATGATACCAAGTGAAAAGTTCTATCCAATTAAACTGACAAGCTAGTCTTCTATCTCTAAAATTATAATAGGTACAGAAGTAAGATTTTAATTGTTTTGGACAATTTATTATTTGGTATTGTTTTCTTTCTTCCCTCTACAATGCTAAGATAGAAAATAAATAATACGACTAGAAACATGTTAATTATGTTGCCGACATCATAGTTTTTACTTTGTTGTCGAAGAGGTTAGTGATGAGATGAATCTTCGTTAAAATAATTTTTACTTTACCAAGACCGCTCTATATATCAAAAGTATTAGTGATCACCACGCATAAGTGATCTAGGTCCCCAGGGATCTGCGGACCACAGGTTAGGAAACACTGTCCTTTATGGGTACCACTACCGTCTATGAACTACACACTAACATATGTTCTAAGAAAATATTTTCATTTTGGTTTTTGACATAAAATTATTCCATAGTCGCGTATACAAATAAATATAATCATAGGTACTCCATTATTAATTTCTAATAAATAAAATAAAATATTTTTTGTTAATAAATAAAATAAATAACTTTAGTTAGTTAACGGAACAATTATATTTATAACTTATATCATTTAATGTTTATGATTTTACATGGAAGGAAACAAAGATATACAAGATATAAAACTGGTAATGCCATCTATCCACAAGGTGCATAAACTAGTGTCGCCATCTTGAGGAAGGTCCTTTTAATATCTTTGTAGTAAAGAGTGGTTGCTTGTTTATAATAGCACAATAACATACAGTTTTTAAAAGATTAGTAAAATAGAGATAATACCTAAAATAATAGAAAATAACAGAATACTGCTAATAAATTGACTTAATAACTTTCAAGTGTTTAACTAATAAATATACAGAAAGATGTTTCCTTTAGAATTTAATACCTAGATTTATTTATATAAAATGTGGCGACAAAGTAGCCTGAAATAGGAAAGATATTAAGAAAAAAATAAATATAGTACCAAGAATAGATGGTTTTTATTAGTGATACCCCACTTATTTATTCTGAAAATCTTAACAATAAAAAGAAATTTACTGCTAATATAGTATAGTACATGAAATTATAATTTGATTTTGATAATTGTAAATCACATTCTTTCTAAAATTTGGATTATCAGCTCTATTTTTATGGTATGTTAAATAAACTGTGGTTTAGCTATTACTTTAGTTAAGGTATAATTTATAATATTTTTTTTAATAAAAGAATGGTATATCTTAAATTAATAAGGTAGCTAGAAATCTTTTTATCCAATCCCTATAACTTTTTTTTAAATGTCATTATGTTTATACCTTATAGGTGTTTTTTATTTAATATGTATTTGAAGATTTTGTAAATAAATCTATAAAGTGTGGAGGCACAAACCTTCCCAATGGATAATATCACATGGATTATCCATTCATGATGGTTAACAGACCATGACTGAACACATAGACCCACTTATGCATATTTACAATTTCAAATACAGGTCAGACCTAATGATTGCATAATTGAGTCCCTTATCTATACTTATATTATAAAGAGTTTTTTGTATGTAATTTGATTTACATACAAAAAACTCTTTATTTAGTAATTTTAAAAAAAATCTAAAACTCTATGTTTGTATGCATTAAATAGGCTCAATAAAAACTACTAGAATGATTTAAAAAATTCTTTCACCTACTGGAAGCTACAACATATGCTGTGAAAATAGGCTATATTTTATCCAGAAACTGCAAATAAAGGGATGAAAATGGAAGTGAAAGTTTGTATAGGGAATTAAAATGTTACCATAGTAACCATTGTTTACTATTCAATTTGTCATTATAATTATTTCCTGCCATATAAATATGATTTGATACCCAAATTAACCGTTCCCTAGGGACCATGTGGGTTAATCTGCTGGTGGAAAGCTAGTTATTTATAAAAGTGGTTTATCACATGTTTAGCTGGTGACCCAAAATATAAATTTAACAGAAATCATCAACCCAGACATTTTATTATATATAAATGTTAATATAATATTAGCATTAACTAAGAATCCATTATGCACTCAAATTGATATCATTATAAAGTATTCAGTAGTACATTCATAGTCAGTATACTAGTTCTTACAGCGCTCATAGCACTTAATAAAAAATCTCTGTCACATCTAATTGTAAAATATAGTAAATCAGTCCTACAATATTACTTCATTCACATTAGAATAAATAGGTTTCTTAAGCATTTCTGTAGATACTTGTTTCTATTGTACATATTAATTCAATACCCTCATTAGATATTTAATAATATTACTTATTAACAAAATCTATTTATACCTCCAATATAATTTAATTATGAAAAGCTTCTTACAGTTTATGTTAAGCATATTTCTTGTTGTAATATTACCGAATACATTACTCTCTGAATGTGCTCTATAAATACATAATATTATTTTCAGTTATCCTAAAATAGGCTGATCTTGCAAAAAAAATTTCTACCCCCTAAATATAAACATGAAGGTAATATTGACAACAACATTAGTCAAAAAACTTTACTTTTAAATTAGACAGCAATAAACTTAGGTTAATCCAAATCTAAAATTTAACTATAACATAGTTTATTTTGATCCAATTCCTATCTGAATCAAAGGTTTTAAAAATCTGAGATATAAATATTTTAATAGATATCAATATATGATTGAGAATGCTAAATTTAAAAAATAAATATACTTAACAATTATTGCTGTTATAAAGTTTTTAAATTTAATAATAGGGTACTCTTGAAATAATTTTGTTGTAATGTATATGAATCTAACTATTATATATATATGCTGTAGTTTTTGAATGCTGAAAACGATATTCTAAAGAACAAGCTTCTAATTATATTTTATGACAATTATATCATAGTAATCAAATATGATAAAAGTTGTCATGAAAATTGTACCCTCCTAGATAGCATTATTTACCAGTGCTACTACAAAGCCATGCATACACCTCCACATTTGCAATTTAACGTTTAACTGCTCACATTCACACCCATTAACTGTCGTTAAGGATAATAATAAAGTATCGTTTACATACCTGGCTCTCTCGAGGGCTCCATCCTCAGCAATTTATTATCGTCTAGAATACGTATACCACTTTCATAAATTAGTACAGGAGTCGCAAAGATGAACCTGTCAGTAACAAGGTCGTTGAACTAAATATACCTATAGATGTGTTAGTCTTCTGTGATACATAGAGTTCTCACGGTGGAATGCAACATTTGGCGCACTACTATAGTAATTAATTACATTTATGGGAACTATTATTCCTTATACACAGTCAATTTATCCAAAAACTCTTTTATTTCAATAAAAAGAACTATAGACATAGGATAAAATAACGCGTCACGTCACTGACGATGATTTTCCGTTTCGTGAAAAACGACTGACTTTAATTGTAAGCACATTAGTAAAATAAAATTTAAAATAATTTAACAGAATTTAAAAGACGTAATAAGATTTTAAAATATTAAATTTACTCTTAAGTTATAAAATAGAAAGTTGAATGTATTTAATTTTCATTTTCATAAATAATACAAAATAAACGTCCAAGAATATTTACTTTACCATTCAGTGAAATTGCGTGAAACGGAATGTACATTTTTTTTATTTACTTTCCCTTAGAAAAATGTATCTAGTACATACAGTCATAAATAATTTTATATGCATACAATCACTTAAAGATAATTTAATCATTAAAAAATCATAAAAATATAAAAATCTAGGTATTTTTATATGTTTACTTCTTGCGTTGACGTTTTATTTTGAAGTACATCTAAATATCACAGTTCACTATAATAAGACTTTCTATACTAATAATAAAGGTTGAAAATTGCTAATTTGTTTTTTTGATTGAACCCTAATTGGAACGAACTGAATTATTGTTTTTGTGTTGAATAGTCCACTTATCGAGGAAGGCTATATAACATCACGTTATGACTTATAGGAGTGGAGCAGCAATAAAACTGTTACAAAAGTTGAAGAACATTTTTCTTTTTTAAAAGTTTCCCTACGTGCGCTACGTAAACGATGAAAGTTACGCAAAAATCATCTATATGTACTAAAGTTCTTAAAAAAATTCCGCGGCAGCATATATGTATCGTATCTTAAATCTTATCCCAAAAAAGCACATAAAGGTAATGACTTTACATTATAAAAGGTAGATAGAACACAACAGGAATAAAAGGATGTCAAAAAATGTCCCCTGGCACAATACTCTCCAATGAGGATGTATTTGAAAACAAAAAGCACTAAAAAGCACCTAGGCGTCTGTAGCAAAAATTGATTTTTGTAGGAAACGAATGGACCAAAGTTAGTCATTTCCATTCCTTTAAATATTAAAAAACAGAAATTTGCAAAGTTCGAACCTTATATAGATATCAATACAAATACCAAAAATTCAAAATAGGATATGAGTTGTTTATTGAGTTTTGAAAACTCTTTCATACATGAAAGAAAACTGGAAAGGTTGTCATGGAGAAATCAAGAACGCACCGTGGCGACATCTAGTTGGATTTCGGGAAGTAATGTTTTTTTTTAAATACTTCTTCAATGATTTCTCTTTTTAGTAAGCAGTGTACTAAAAAGAGAAATCGTTTGTATGTTGCCGAACGTTGCGACTTATTAAACAGCATCAGATTCATCCTCCACATTAGTTTTATATAACAATCAATTACATAAATATGTTTGTTTTAATAAAATTTATTCTATTCAAATACTATAAAGTTGAGTTTTAAATAAATGTTTCTCCTCTAATACAGCTTATATTAATAAATTAATTTAATTTACATTTATAGCGGTTTTTAAGTAAAAAATAATTTATTCTCAAAGTGGGCAGTAGACAATATAAGCTTGGGAACCCCTTGGGAAAATATTAAATCGTTACCATAGTAACCGTTGATTACAATTTAATTTGTCATTTTAATTATATTCCATGTCATCCTTTTCCAAATGCATTATTAAATGATTTAAGCTGTTTACACAAGATTAACTAAAATTGCAACTGCTATTATGATTTATTTAAAATAAATATATAACAATATTTATGGGATTATTCATCAATATTTTAATAATTAAATAAATTATTTATCTCTTGCATTTTGTGCTATCTATACTTTCTAATTTCAAATTACGTTATTCGGGTGCTATTTAGACAACGGCTCCAGCGCATTAGCAATATAAGGGACTTTTACTGAAAAATTAAGTTTACGAAAGCTCTTGCACATTTTTGTCACGAGCTCTCCATCTATTATTATATTGTTATTACTGAAAATCTAAAATTTTGGGAATGGCAATATTGATTCAATGTCAAATTAATGTCGTTTGTAACACGAGCGTACACGATTCTCTTCGTTAGCCTTGTCAATTATAATTTTGTTTTCTTTTACAACCAAGTTTGACTTTATGTTTGCATTATTTTTATTGGCTATATGAACATAAGTGCAATAAATTTACCAATCCGAAACTATCCAATAATTTGAGTACAGTTAAAAAATATACTGTGAGTTGAAAATTGTTCTGTGTAATTTGCTATATAGAGTGACCGCGTTTCTACATAAACTTTTGAACAATTTCAAATTAAAACACTACACTTCGGGCTGTTAGAAATAGTTTGTGTGTCCCATAAGTGTTTGACCGAAGTAACACGAATTTTTAATTATTTTTTTTTTTGAATAATTAGTTTTCATAAACCAATAAAATGGAAAATACGAATGATTTCGAATATCCTCATACTTTTATATTGTTGGGCGCATCAGGAGATCTGGCGAAAAAGAAGATATATCCAACTATATGGTATCTTTATCGTGACAATCTTCTTCCGGAAAAAACTAAATTTTTTGGTTATGCTCGTACTAAACAATCTATTTCTGATGTCAGAGAGAAAAGTAAAAAATATATGAAAGTGCGGGCAGGGGAAGAAGAGAAGTTTGAAAAGTTTTGGCAAGCAAATGATTACTGCCCTGGCTCATATGACAAGCGAGTTGATTATGAAATTCTTAATCAATCAATTACCAAGTTTGAAAAGGGACCAATCGCTAACAGGATATTCTATTTAGCTGTACCTCCAACAGTATTTGAAGATGTGACTGTAAATATAAGAAATGCTTGTATATCTATTAAAGGTTTCACTAGAGTTATTATTGAGAAGCCATTCGGAAGAGATGATGTATCTTCCAGTAAATTGAGCAATCATCTAGCTGGTCTGTTTAAAGAAGAGCAAATTTACAGGATTGACCACTACCTTGGCAAGGAGATGGTACAAAATCTAATGACTATAAGGTTTGCAAATCAAATTTTTGGTCCTTCGTGGAATAGGGAAAATATTGCATCAGTCCTTATTTCATTTAAAGAACCATTTGGCACAGAAGGTAGAGGTGGTTACTTTGATGATTTTGGAATAATTAGAGATGTGATGCAAAATCATCTTCTTCAAATTTTATCTCTTGTTGCTATGGAGAAACCCGTCTCCTTGAATCCTAATGACATTAGAGATGAGAAAGTTAAAGTTCTTAGGCACATTCGACCTATTAAACGAGAAGATATATTAATCGGGCAATATGTTGGCAATCCTGATGGGCAGGGTGATGAAAAATTGGGCTATCTTGATGACCCAACTGTTCCAAAAGACTCTGTCACTCCAACATATGCTTTGGCAGTAGTTTATATTAATAATGCAAGGTGGCAGGGCATTCCGTTTATACTTCGTTGTGGTAAGGCCCTGAATGAAAGAAAAGCAGAAGTGAGAGTACAGTACAGAGATGTTCCAGGTGATATATTTGATGGTCATGCAAAGAGAAATGAATTGGTCATTAGAGTTCAACCTGGTGAGGCTCTGTATCTAAAATTAATGAGTAAATCTCCAGGCATGAAGTTTGACCTTGTTGAAACTGAATTAGATCTGACGTATAGCATGCGCTATAGAGAAGCTGATGTGCCAGATGCTTATGAAAGATTAATTTTAGATGTATTCATGGGGACGCAGATGCATTTTGTTCGAAATGATGAACTGACTGAGGCTTGGCGTATATTCACTCCTATTCTAAATGAGTTAGAAGAACAACATGTTAAACCTGTGCCTTACACTTATGGTTCCAGAGGCCCATCGGAAGCTGATAAAACATTGGCCAACTATGACTTTAAATATTCTGGTTCTTATAAATGGAATAAGCCAACTATCCATTAATATTATAAATATAGGCTTTAGGTGGTGGTTTCTCTCAATTTAAGGTGGTGATATTTTATACATTAAGTAAGCTTTGCAATATCCATTTTAATTATTATAACCATTCCATTTGTATACAATTTTACCTATAAAATTATTTATTACTTAATTCGATTTTGTACTTAGCAAAGTAAAGCAGTGAGGTCACTCTAAGGTCATTGATATCACATTCTTTGAATAGGTGTATGTCACGTTATAGGTACATGCATGTTGTCCGGTATAATCAGTGTTTAAAAAGTTTGTGTTCTTAATATTACATAAGGTTGTGCAAGTGCCTTATCTCTTAGTATATAATTGAAACTGGGGTCAAATTATAAAAATTGAAAGTTTATCCCAAAGTATAGATTTTCAATGCAATATAAATTTACAATTTTATACATCTTAGATATTGACTATATTTTTATATGTTATTGGGATGTTTACTCATAAATAATATATATATCATTTTAATTGTGATTTAAGCAATGGTTACATAGTTTCATCTAAACTGTTATTTTTTACACTATTTTAAATGGTGTTTTTGTGAACTATGATTGAAAGATCACATTTTGTATTTGCAACAAATCAACTGTGAAGGTAAAACAGATCAGTATTTTTTTATATTTATCCACGGTCAGGTATTTAACCATCAGCATGTCAGCTGATACAAAACTCATGATTTATCCACATGATTTTAAACCTTGATGCTTTTAGTATAGAAACTAATTTAAACTGTGAAAATTTGACATTGAGGTAACCTGCATGCTGATCAGGTTATCAAAATGTGACAGATTCATTTATCTGTTACGAATTTTAATTGGTGTAAAACAATTTTGGATAACTAGATCACAGTTTTGAACTGCAGCTGTTGACTGAACACTCAACAATAGTTTGAACCTTAATATATTGATAATAATGTTCAAAGTTGATTACTGAAGTATGATCTTTTATAGTCATGTGTTCTGCTGCTGTGTGTATTATTGTATACTAAAATGATAATAAGTATTAAACGTTTACGTATATTTAAGTGGTAAAAAAAAAAACAAAAACATTAAGTAAACTTTAACTCTGTGGGTAAAAGACATTAAATGTTGGGTTAAAAATTGTAAATGGTAGGTGTGGTTTTAAAAACTACGTTTGATATACATATTAGGAACGGTGGAGTTATCCATCTTTCTCTAACTGAAGGCTTATTACCTTTGGTCTATAAAAAGCGTGCGGGAATGCCTGAATGCAGAAACGATTAATAAAACAAATAGTAAACAGAACATTCATACCGCCTACAAGTGTTCTTCTCATATAATAATAATGGTCCTTTAAATACGTTAGAGTAAGATGAAATTAAATTATATGGCGCAATGTAAATCTTATTTTGCACAGAGAAGATCTATCTATTCCGACAATGAACGTCATATTAAATTTAAAATGAGTCTTGTATCAATTTACATGAGGTGTGCAATGCAACGCATATTAGGTGTCCGTTTTAAAGAGAAGCGCGAAATACTCGGGCGATAGTATACTTGAAGAATTCGGCCTTTGAAAGTCAGCTTTGTGCGTACCAGAATTTATATATTGGGTATGTTCCGATATACACTGCGAGCACTGCGCAGTGGTCTTACTGCTGAAAAATCCGTTCCGTTATGGACTGCCAGTACACTGCTACAGTACCCTAGGGAAATTTATGACGTCATAAATTGCCGCCATATTTGTACTGTGAGCACTGGAGATTTCGAGGTAAGGTGCTCGCAGTGCTTTTGATCACGTGATCAGTCGAAACAGAATCAGAAAATGATAATTCTAAATAAACAAAAAAAATAGTTAAGTTTATTTATAAGATGGATTTAATTGATAAATATTTTTTTTATACAATTTTCCAATTTTCTTTTGAAAAGAGGGAATCTTTATATTTATATTCACCTTGCATTAACAAATTTGAAAATGGCGCCAAAAAATAGGATTAACAGTATACTGGACTGCGTTTCGTTTTAAAAAGTCACCAGTATAACTAGCTATAAAGGAACGGGCTTCCAGTATACTAAATTGACGTCATACTGTTCATCGGTCGCAGTGTATATCGGAACATACCCATTATCTAATAACTAAATACATTTGTTAATAAACTCATAATTTATAAGCAAAGACGTCAGAAATGTCAGATATATGAAATAACATTCAGCCTGGCACACTCAATGGAATATTCCGTAATGTACTAACGCATAGCTCCGTGAGACTGCTTCTGCTGAAAGATTTGGCCACCTTTACTGAACTTTTACCATGATGCATTTTGAAAAATCTAATAAGTTAATGTTACATTATTTCGTGTATAATAAAAACTCGTTATAGTTTCGACAACAAATAAGTGAGTCATGGTCATGGTCAGACCAGTGATAGTATGCTCAAGTTAGTACAAAAATAATTTAAACTAAGTTATTAGTCTACTTATTATACTTGATCAAGTTTGCATCTATTTTCCTGGGAAAGTAACAAAATCTACAGTTTTTCGAGTTACCGCGCGCCTCCGCAAAATAATTTATTCATATGATTTCGGTTGGTGACACTGACTTCAAAGAATGCTTTGAAGAAAATAGTAGGTATTTATTTCAAACAAAAAGAACTCTCTTTAGTCTTAAGTAGATTATGCGGTTAGCCATTCGCATTGCGTTAAAATGATTGGCTATTATTTCCTATAATGGGGTTTCATTTTGCTCTCTGGTTGTGGTCCTTCGAACTAAAAACTACTCCCGCTGTCTTTCCCGCTCGAGAATATGGCGGTTCTAAACCACAGATGCCGTAATATATCTTAACCCTTAATTTATTCTGATGAAAGATGATTCCTTCATTACTAATGCAGATAATTTGGGAAGTAAAATAGTCGTTGGTAGATTAACATTTTTATGAAATTTACACAATTATTATGTTCAAAGTTTTAATACCACACATCAAAAATAAAATTATCTGTTGTACGTGACAACAGCTAATTTTAATTATTTATTTATTCCGCGTAAGTAGGTATTATTTTTCAAGAAATGTAATGTGAACTTCAACACCTAATCACTTGGTGAAATTATTATTTTTTGTTTTATATGCAAATCATATTTTTAGTAAGTGGGTATTTAATTAATCTCAGTTATTAATTGTATTAAAAACAATTAAATTGTTATATTAATATGAAAGTTTTTTAAAATATTTTGAAATAAATGATACTTTTTTTTTATTTGTTTCTCTATTTTAAATACATATGGATCCATAATTGATATTGGGAATTCTTTGCTATACTGATTTATTAGCCTTTCTCGAGATTGGAACTTGGGATCGAGAATACTATCTACATGGAATTGCAATCCCGCTTTCTTTCATTAGTAGGTACTAGCTCCTTTCTCGCGAATTCGCTCACGTAAATTGTAGATTTAGCTTCTCGTAGGTAAAATAGTTTTTAAAATCAGTCCAGTAGTGTCGGAGTAAACAAACAATCAAGTATTTTCCTCTTTATAATATTTTAAAGACAATCGACGTATTATGGAAGCATAGCAGGATGGTTTAAGAGTTTAAGGGCCAGTTTCACCGGTTACTGATAAAGTTTCAGATAGTTATCTGATAGTTAACGCTATCTACTGGATAAAGGTTGCTGTTAACTTTTTTCTGTTTCACCATCAAACTGCTAGATAATTTATCTGGCAGATAAGTTATCGGCCACTTATTAGTTGACGGAACGGCAACGTCGCTTTTTTGCGTTTCAATACTACGACCCAAATTATCGTCAATCAAAAATCATTTTTAAAACTTAATTAATATTTTTTTTTGTGTTCAATATTATTTAAGTAAACTTTTTTCACATATTTTGAATTATAATTTTATGATTCTAGATTGAAAATAATACGATATTCGTATACTTAGCTACGTGTTTACAGAAACGAAACGCAACTATCATTTGTTTTGCTTTGTTGATATTTTGTGCTTAAGACGCTTTTCAATTTTTAAACTTTTCTTTGTGTATTCTTTTTGGATCTGTTAATTAATAATGAAAAACAAAAACGTTAAAGAACTGTGAATTTTAATTAAGAAGAAACGGAGCTTCTTTGTTTACTAGTTAATGGAGATTTTTTACTTAGTAGCCCGTTGTAGTTTTAATATCACTTTCTATTAACGATAGAATATAAACAACAGCCGAAATCGATTTCTAAAATCTTGATCGTCAAGTGATTCTCAATAATTAGGTCTAGGGTTAATTACTCGATTCCTACGGGGTCGCGTAATAAGTTCGAAATATTCATCTAATCCGTCTTCTTAAAACTCAAATAAATCCATTTTAGAATATTTGTGACACTTGTGACTGCAATCGACGCAAAGCACACAATAATGGTCTAAAACTAAAACTATTTTCGTTCCCGTCAATTGAAACTTTTTTTTTATCTATCAGATAACGTCTTTATCAGCCACTTGAATCGGCTGATAACATATCTAATACTTTATCTGCCAGATATTTTTATCCGAGACCTGTGAAACCAAAAGTTGTAGTTTATCTGGCAGATAAGTTCCTGATAGACTATCAGGGACTTTATCAGCAACCGGTGAAACCGGCCCTAACAGTACTATTAATAAACAAGCTTTAGCGTCAGAGTAAATTTATGTTAAAATTTTAATTATTGTTTGTTTCCAAATTGATATTATACAGAGAATAAAACCTACCCTACCTTCTAGGAGTAAATAATTATCCGGTAGAACCTCGTACTAGGTTTACCTTTGCTAAGTCTGTATTATAATATGAATTTTGACTAAAACTAAGTGCAGTCTCGGCGTAAATTTACTCCGACACCAAACCTTGTTTATTTAATTCATACTCTGCTTAAGGCTACGTTTACGACTCTTGCTAATATTCTTAGGTTAGCAACAACATCGTAACGTCGTCACTAGATTTCAAGAGGTCAAAGATTGTTTTTTTTATTTATTACACAAAGACTTGAATCGTGCAAATTCTAAAGAAATTATTTCAGTAACGTTCTAAGTTCAGTACCTTTTATTGTTTTAATTCCTTAATCACTTTGAACTTTATCAGCTAAATAATTAAAACACTGATTCACAGAATTATTGACTTTTCTGAAAGTTAATTTTATTATGGTTTCAGAAATTAAAGTGCCGTTAGATCACCCTAAGTTACCTTGTGTCATTCAATGTGTTCTATTTATAGAAACAAATTGATTTATATACTGTGGTATGGTTCTATAGTGGCTGAGTATTAATATTTACAAGCAAACATTTTCGCGCATCCAATCTTTTTCGATCAGAGCGCTTAGTGTAAGTTTTTTTGGCGATAGTGAGCGTGTTAAGATTTTAGTATGAAATCCGGTACAGCACTCCTAGCGGTAACTACCAAGAACTACAAATACGTTAAGTTAAACTTAACTCGTCATTCTGAATATACCTATTTTGACGACCATTCATCAGATGCGTGATCATCACGTCTAGTTACGTAACTACAATCTACATGCTCATGCGGCCCAAATGATATAGGAAAGGTACATATATATCTATTTTTATCCAATATTATAAACTAGCTATCCGCCCGCAGCTTCGACCGCGTGGTTTACATAATGAATTGACAGAACATTTATACCTAGGGAACCTTAGGATGTAGTCAATATGTTAATTCAGACTTAGAATTATTATCAGAGTGAAAATAAATCTTATGTCAACTAGGTATATCTCATTATTATACATATTTAAACAATTTTGCATTTATAATGCTATGCTGAAAAATATTCATAATGAGTAATGCTTAAAAATTCTTCTTTGTCCCTGGCACTCTGGGATGGGATACGAACCCATGACCTTTCTGGCGACTGCTCTAACCACTGAGCTAGCCAGGACCTTACAGGACTAACGAATTTTATAAGCACTTTTTACTTAACTAATGACGTTTAATCGTGGGAGAGCCATGCTTCGGCATAAATGGGCCGGCTCGACCGGAGTAATACCACAGAAAACCGACGTGAAGCAACGCTTGCGTAGTGTTTCGTCGTGTGAGTGAGGGTACCGGAGGCCCAACCCCTCCCTATTCCCTTTCCTCTACCCCTCAACCCTTCCCTCCCTATGATCATATTCGTCCCTCAAAGGCCGGCAGCGCGCTTGTAGCCCCTCTGGAGTTGCAGGTGTCCATGGGCGACGGTAATTCGTCTGCCGCCAATTTCATAAAAAAAACTCAAACTCAACCCAAACAGCCGAAAGAAATATTTTTACAAATATTAGTACTTTCGATAAAGATGAAAATTTGTTCTAATTATTATATTTAATCAATTTTGCACTCACAATGTTATATTGAAAAGTATTCTAAATGAAAAATGTTTGACCGAATGAAAGTGGATTTTTAAAAATTTTTCATGGAGAAAAGGTCTATCTCCTTTGAGTAGTAGTAGTAGAAACCGATTTTTGTTTTTAAGAGGCGGATTTGCACTGTCTCTCTAATTTGGACACTTCATACAAATCGACTTTCTTGACAGTTTATTGAAATTGTGAAAAAATTCAATTTGGTTGTATTTATATCATGATGAAAAAAAAAATCTTATCGCTATCATTTGTTCGTTTTGGTGTAGAGTAAACATTCCCACAACAATAAGATTATATTGCACCTGACATCTAATAACAATCGTTATTCCGTGAAGAAGCTTCGAAATGTACTTAGGTATATGAAGCTGTTTTTCCATTCTTATTTCAGCTAAATATATATGTATCCATTTGTGTTTGTCATGGATAAAAAAGTGAGGAACTTGTATATTTCATCACTTAGCTTTTGGTGCTTAATATTTATGCCATTAATCCTACCACTTGAGGCTCGAGCCAGTGGCGTAGCTACCAAGGGGCTAGGCGGGGCAGTGCCCCGGGGCCCTCAAGCTCAGGGGGCCCTCGAAGCTTTACCAGAAAATCTCAATCGAACTCAACTTTTGAAATTTCCTCCCATTTTCAAAATAAATATGACAGGTGACAACTCGAGTTTAATCATGGCAACTCAGTTGTGAGAAATTCCAAAGTTATTAAAAGGGAATTCCCCTAAATTATTTGTGTGGGTTGACAGTGTTATTAATGTTTTCATCAATTTGTCAGATATCAATATCTGCATATTATTATTTATCGATATGCGTTTTTTTGATTCGCGATTGTGAACTTCGAGTCAAGATTTTTTTTCGAGAATGGTTAATAAGTTAATGTATCAGGAGTAAGTAAGCGTATGTCAATAAATTTTTTGTACTGGTCCATGCAAAAGTTCAAATTTATTTGATTATGGTAAACTTAATGATTGATTATGGATTTCTTTACGTAACCAAATAACCAAACTTATTTGGTTACGTAAAGAAATCATAAGATTTCGGCTACTCACTATTTAACTTAAAATACCGTGAAAAATACAAGTCACATGCGGTAGGGGCCATCCATTTATTAAGTGATGTTTTTTTTGTCAATTTTTTAAACCGTCAAATGTGATAACACTGGCGGCGATAAAATGTTTGCCGGGGATTCCCCAACGATGTCTTGTATCGTATCATTACGTTTCGCTTTCCTTTTACTTGTAACGTTGTCAGTGAACAGTGAGTACCTACTTGAGTACAATATTACATAAATAAATTAGAAAACTAATATTATGGACAAAAATAAAGAAACCCAGTGGTGCATTTAAACGCAAACAACGCCAAGAAAGAGAAGAAAGTAAACAAAAATTGCCCAAAATTCACAAGTTTTTAGTCAGCCTTCTGCAAGTACTTCTGGACAAAATATTTCTATTGAAAATTTTTGTAAATAGCTTGCATGGTGATAGGTTAATTAACAGTAAGCTGGTGCAACGTATCTACGAATAAATAAATATCTAATAAACCCTTGAATCTTTTCTATTTCGTTTTATACCTACACCAAGTATAAAAATAATTGTAATTTATGTTGTTATTGTTTAATAGTTTTATTACCTGCATCAGCACGAAAAAGAGCTGTTGATAAAGTTGCTTAGCATTTTTAAAGTATATGTATATTTAATGAGTTTACTTCAAAAAACCATAACAGTTTTGATAGCAGTGGGCCCCATTTTTTTGTTTGCCCCAGGGCCCTAGGTTACCTAGCTACGCCACTGGCTCGAGCGTACGGTGGTAAATTCGACGGTGACTCGGTGAAAAAGCATTACGCATTATCCCTGGATGGGATGGCTGGCAGAGGACGTGTGGGACTCTTCTCAATAATAACTAATTGTGCGTAAATGAATCGCTTATATATATATATACTAAAATTGAAAACAGATAAAAGTAAATACGAACATGTGACTATTTTTAATTATAATATAATTCGTCCATAGGACAGGCGAAGGAATTTTTAATAAGGAGTCCGGACGGATGAAAACTTTCTTCTTCTTTTTAACTTTAATGGCACTTTGCGTCACTACAATACTGCCAACTTCACGTAGGAGACCCCATTATACGATTTAAATACATTCATTCAAACAAATAATTTTGAATTACCAATTCTATCATTCTACATGGATTTACCAAAAACAACACGTTAAACGATTTTAATAGGTTATTTAAGGAATTATTTTATATAAACAAACATTTAATCATAATCATTTTGTAAGTCATTTTGTTTTTTAAGTCTGCAAACATTCATAAGTAATGTTTGACAATCGTTGCTGGTATCACCATAACTGTAGTAAGGATGACAAAATTTTAAAGAATAGAACTTTATTCGATACAAGATTCGATTATAAGTATTGGATCATATCTATCGATACTTAATGGTATCAAGTACTTGCTAAGTTCAGCAAAAAATTTAGCTTGCCCGCAAAACAGTACCTGAAAAATGAAAGAAAGAATAGATATACTTCTCTAGCGGTAGACTACCATATAATGTATATCGAAGATGGATTGTTTTGAAACGTGACTGATTATGTTGAGACTCGCAACTTAATAGAAATATACATAATGCTTACGTGAAAAAAAATATACATTTGTATTTAAATACTATATTTAAAAGTAAACATGGCTGCTTGTCAAGTTATCATAATATTTCAAAGGAGAATGTCTTTTATTGAATGGGAATTCGTAAAAACTTGCATCAACCCAAATTTACTCTCAACAAGTAAAGTTTTTATTTAATTTTTCACTCCCATAAAAATTTTATCATAATTTGACCACTTTTTTAAGATTAAAGAGAATTTTAGCTTTAAAAATAAACAGAACAGAAATAAAGACCAGCTATATTTTTAGAAAAAAAAGAAAGCACTAAAAAGCACCTCATAAGATGGCAACTCTATCTAAAGTTGATTTTTGCAGGAAACGAATGGACCAAAGAAAATCATTTCCGTAACTTTTAACTAACATATTAAAACAACAGAAATTTGCAAAGTTCGAAACTTAGATATCAATACAAAAACGAAAAAGTACAAATAGAATATGAGTTGTTTCTTGAGTTTTGAAATTTAATTTATTTTTATACATGAAAGAAAACTGGAAGGGTTGTCACGGAGAAACCAAGAACGTACCATAGCGACATCTAGTTTGATTTCGGGAACTAATGTCTTTTTAAATAGTCCCTCATGACTGTGATAAAAAATATTAACACATATTTTTAACAAATAAGCAGGCACCACAAGCGACGCAAAGCGCAGTTCAAGAAGAGTTATTACCTCAACACAGTAAATCACGTGTAACTGCCTTGATACGTCACAATACAAAAGTAGCTATCTAAATACCTTCAATAGTTTTATTAAAAATAGCAGTACAACTCAATGATAACAAATACATCGATTAACCGACCTATACGTTTAAAAAGTAAAGTAAATTATACTTTACCGGTAATAAACAAAGAGTGAAATATAAAACTAAACGTCGATAGATTTAACAAATAACAGTTCAAATTTCGGTGTCTGTTATGCTGTTTTGAGTTTCTATTATGCAATGAAATTTTTCTTAATTTCATAAAATAAAACTATTTAGTACGATTTACAATTATTATTTACACCATGATTATTTACTTTTAATCTTAGAGCTAGCTAAAGGAAGATATTTAGATCATCGTCAGTGTATGAATGCTACGTCAATTGCATACGGAACGTTTTTTTTCTGATATGCATTTTATTATGGAAAGAGGCGAAATGTTAAATATTTATTATAACTTTGTAATACGGTCAAAATATAGCTTAAAAACCAGTCGTAAATACATATAGATAAAGCATTATTTTTTGTAATAATCTACCTGTGACGTAATATGGTATGGATAAAGGTAATCTCCTTCATCCAGTTGATTTTTATCTCTACTCTCAACGCATTATGGCTTAAAATCAAGTGGAGACTCTTGACGGATATGTGCTGTTGACATTTTATATGTTGTTTTTAAATATTTTTTTGAAACACATTCTATTGCTATATGACGTATGCTACTTGAAAATACAAAATACTTTGGTCCTCTGTAATATAATTCAAAGATACAACTTTTTTGAAAACTTATATTTAATGTAGAATTAATATTAAATACAAAATATATACTTAAATTCTATATTGACTGCACTTTTGAAAAGTACATTTCGTTTTTTATTTGAAACAGGTTTTGAGATGTTAATTTGCAAAAGACTTTACTTTTGGTTTTGGCAACATTACTAGAAAATATTAATATTTAATTATTAATTGGAAAATTGATATTTACATAGAAAAGTCACGGGTCGCTGCCCATTTGTTATCAGTGGTTAGTCGTATAACTATTTTTTTTCTTATATTACACTAGCAAATGTAGCATGTACGTATACAAAACACTGTTTACTACATGTACTAGTATTGCAATCTGGTATATGTATATGTCTATTTGGGGAAATTTTCAAATGAGAATTGAAAAAATAGATCTGTTCTCGATTCGTCAACGAATCGATTCTTTGCGTGTATCTCTATTTACCCAACTGTCAGCTGAGTTGATTATCGAGTAATGGTGGTGTTATGACCTCAAGGACCTGGAACAAAATCAGTGCGCTAATTCGTAGTTTGTTTAGGCTTTGTTAAAAAAAAAACTTCAACTAAATGAAGTATTAAAACAAAGTTGTTTAAATTACATAGCCATTTGACATGTTTTGCAGGGTACAAGGGTGATTATCAGTGTATGTTTTTGTAAGTAGCTATTACATCTTTGTTGTTGAAGTGACTTCTAACGCAAAAAATAACACGTTCCATTGTGGTGATTGAGCGTGGTTTTTTTCTATACGAAAAAGCTTTGTCTTTTAACTTCTGTTTAGGCATTATTATTTCTGTTTCGGATATAAATGTTTGAATAGACAAAATGTAAATAAAAATGGTCACTGTTTGTTTTGCTGTTTAAATTTGTTAAAATTTTGTTTGTCTATTTTCTACGTAATAACTAATTTTTTTAAAGAAGTGTTGCTTCAAATTGCATTAAAATTATCACAATGAGTACTGCTTCTACTCAACTTTAATGATTTTATGATTTTTTTTAAAGTAAAAATATAAATATTTATAAAAAAAGATTTTTTATAACGTCAATGAAACAATAAATTACACATTTTTAAACATACATTCTCATTTCTTTTCAGCCCTCATGGAGTTTACTTGTAGATTAAGCTGTAGTTAGGGAAGTCAGTGACTGTTTTGTTTGCAGTTCTGATATTAAAAAAAGGCCACCATGTTGTACATATTCCATGTCGATGCTGGTCAAATGACCACATATGACATGAACCTTACACTGCAAAGGTAAGTTTTCAATTCAGTTAGTTACTGAATAAATCAAACCATTGTAATTATATTGAATAAATCTTGTATTGCTTATATCTATCATTTGTTTTAGTGTGGCATGTTTGAAAGCTGCAATAGAAAGGAAAACAAAGATACCATCTAACTCATTAGTTCTGCTCGTCAGTGGAGGGGAAGTTTTGCAGTCAGATCATATGGTATCCTCATACAGTGCAGGAACTGACTCCAATCCTATTTATATGTTTAGTAAGCCTTCGATAAGAGAGAGCCATCTTAAACAGTCCAGTGAGTTATATTTTGTAACATTCCTAATGATCCAATCCTCCTTACTAATATTAGAAATACAAAATTTTGTGAGGATGTATGTGTGTATGTTTGTTATTCTCTCATGAAAAATAACTGGATGGATTTTGATGAAATTTGGTGTAAGGATATTTCCAAGTATGGTTTAACATATAGGCTTCTTTTTATTTCATTAACTAACTGAAGTTGCTGGCGAAAGCTAATATATAATTAAAGTGTGAGGTTTTATTGAAACAGCCTTTTCATCAAGCTGTTCAATACCTAATTAGATTTGCACTATTAACTAGCAAGAGAATCGAGAACTAATTTGATATTCATAGGTTAAAATGTTAGGTTTAAATGCCCTTATATTCAATGTAAAAGTTATTCTTAAGTCATTTATCATTTAAAACACACTAAAGGACATTTCATTTGGTTGGAACTGTGACCAGATTTTTTTTTTCAATACCCATTATGGAGGCTACAATGAAGCAAAAAAGCTACATATTTTAAGAAAGGATTAAAAAATAGATCAGGTTCAAGATTTGCATGTACCAACTGGTCACTGATTGTTGTTTTATCCACTTAATATCTATATAATATGTTATCAGTGACAAACTGAAGACTTTAGTTTGTCATTGATAACATTAAGTAAATACTGACTCCTTATTTGTGCTATTATATCCTATTTCGTTAAGAAAAAATATGCACAGTTTCAAAGTTCAGTTCAAAAGTTTGAAACTATGCATATTTTTTTTTTATACAAAGGTTGGCATTTGTAACTAATACAAATGTAAAATCATCATGAAAACAATATTAATGATATAAAAAATTCTAGTATGCAGTGACTTGAGCCCAATTCCTGAGCTAGAGCCAGAGTTCAGGAACGATGCACGTACTACTTACGATGGGAAGTCGCTTGCTGAACTCAAAGCGGCTGTCGAAAAATGTTGCTCTATGCCACCCACCGTCCAGACAGTCTTAAACTGCACTAACCTAGCACAACAATTCAGTGAACTTGCACATGAAGTGTCTAGGAGTTGTGAGCAGTTGGTCCATGAGCAGCATTTACAACACCAGGTCAGTTAAAATTAAAAAAAAAGTGTTTTTTTATGCTTATCTGTGTTTTGGAAGGTTGTTAAGTCATTAGTATTGTCTGCATTTGTCATTATTGATAGGTACCTAACAGATTACATGGGGTTTTCATTGCAGTTTGTGGCCGATTTTTCCTGCACTTTTAAAAATAGGGAAGACCTATGCCCATATTGTGGCTGCTCTATAATAAATCTTTGTAGGTGATGTTTGTAGCTCTGTAAATTTTGTATAATTTCACTTAAAATGGAATATCCAAACTGGAAATAATGACTTCTTCAAATGTGATAATGACAAAAATAATTATTCAATAGTCATACCAATTCTAAGTTGTACTATTTACAATATATGAGGTTGGGGCATTTACTTAGTGAAATAATGTCACTGTTCCACATTGAGGGCATTTGATTAATTGTGACATACATATCACGCGATCTGCGGATGCTTTGCGCTGATCCATGATCCAATGCGTTAGCAAGAAATGGCATTTGAATTTTTTTTTATCGCTTTTCTTAAGGTATATAGGTCATATAACTTCTATGTTGTACTGTTTTTCAATGTATGGGTTCGGGGGTTGCACCAACCCCACATATTATAATTATTGATTGTTCTTTGTAAAACAATGTCACTGTTACATATTGAGGGCATTTGATTAATTGTGACATACATATCGTGCGATTTGCGGATGTTCTAATACAGAACAAAATTGATCAATTATAATAAACAGATGCTTTATTTAAGTTTTTGCTTCACATTCTTAATCTTCTAAAATGTCAATAAATTAAAAACTAATGACATATGGTAATAACTATACTTTCCTGACATATACTTTACATATTACGACAACATCGGAAGCCACTGAAAATGAATAGATGTTGTTTACTGCTAACTTCAGTATTTACAATAAATAAATATACTTTTGTAATTATTATGTAAATTACATGATTATTTCTTAGGTCAGTAGTTATAAATTGGAAGAATAAAATGAATTAAAGAAATTTTCTTCATCAACATCAACCTTTGTTAGTTAATTCACAGCAAACAGTAAACAGTCGCAAATATATTCATCGTCAAAGTCAAAAAGGCTATGTTAAAATAATTGTTGTTTATTTGGTTTAATTCCGTTTATAATTTCGGCATTATTCCCTTCTTCCAATTGGTGATTATTAATCAGTAAATCTGCTACTAATTTTTGGCAAATAAGAGGTTGGTTTACAACAATAAAATTATTTTTTCTTGCAGGGATGGGCGGCAGTAGTCGCAAATTTAGATGACATATATATTGAATTTTGCGAACGTTCAAGAAATTTTAAGGAATCATTCAGAAAACATCGATTAAAAAAGGAAGAGTATCACGAGAAATTGAATGCGTAAGTTTATTTTTTCAAATTTATTAAAACATGGACTTGTTGATGAATGAATTTTAATTTACCTTAGTCGTAAGCAAAAGTAAATTTAGTTAATTTCCTGATGTGACCTAGAACAACAACAAAGCTATAAATAAGCCCACGTTCAGTGTGCATTCTCTTTTCGGCCTTATCGTCACAACAAAATGTATTTTATGATCTTCAATTGAAAAATATACCTGTAATGTTGATCACCTACAATTATTATTTGATTGTGTTTCGTTACGTCGCAACGGAGTTTTGTTTGGAGATGGTTGGAATGGAAAGCTGGAGAAATAGTTTATATTTTACTGCGAATTCTTTTAATCTCCTGGGAAAATACGCTCCTTTCTTTCTTCATATTAATAGTGAGAATGTCATCTATAGTAATATTATAAAGAGGAAAAAAAAAATTGTTTGTTTGCACTGCATAAGCTCCGACTCTACGAGACCGTCTTTCAAAACTATCACCTACGAGTAGTACATTATAAGCGGATGAGTAGGCTATGATTTACACAAGCGAAGTCGCGGGGAAAAAGCTATTTTACCATATTTAGCTGGTGCTGGTTAGATGAAGCTACTTAAAATAAATAATTATCTAATTAAAATCAAACCCGATAACCTAATTGTAACAATAAAAGAATTGACACATCAACCTAATTACAGCTAATGTTTAATTGCCAATCCAGGTGATTGTAAATTAAGTTATATTTAATTGTTCTTTGAACTTGCATACGTAAGATATAATTATTATGGTAAACAGGAAATTCATGTTTTTTCAAATTTTAATTAACTCTCTTTATGATTTATTAATTTTTAAATATGTACTAACAGCAACATATCAAGGTTACTAAAATACGATAAAAATCCGCAATCAATTTTTAATTCAATCGACATCGCGTTGAAGTCGACAATCAATTGTAGGAGTTAGACAGTTTTATACAGTCAAACATGCAGCATATATTTCATAATACTTGTTTTAAAATAATATAGAAAAATACCAAGTTTTGGTGAAACTTTTTATCCAAGTTTTATCAAACAATAAAATATCCATTAGTCAAAAAATTATTGCTTTTTACAATGATTATTAATATTAACTTTATCGCAATATACTAATGTGCGTAACTAGCGTTTATTTACGGGTGAATAAAAGTAAAGAATCACTGTAAATAATATGGATTTTGAATGCTTTTTTTTTAATGAGAACCATATTTCGATAATAACCTGTGAGATTATGACAAATAATATTTAGTTTTATTGATATCTTTAAAATATTATTTTATTTTCTTCATATATTTAGCTACAAGCTAGGGTTCTGAAGTCAGGCAAGTGTCGCCTGAATACACCCCCTTAACATTGTAACGGTTCACTTGTATATTATAAATTGCTATCCGCGAAAGTAGGTTCCTCGTAATATTGTAATTGTTAAATTTGTCCTATGTTGTCAAGATTTCAATAGCACCTCAAGATATGCAAATCTTCTTAATGGAAAAATGCTTAAAAACTCCACTTTATTAGACAAAGTGGAATTTCGTTAAGAATATTTTCCAGTATAGCATTCTGAATGCAAAATTGATCAATTATAATTATTTCTTCCGTTGATATTAAACCTTAATGGTTTGGTGGAGAGTTGAAAAGGAACTGGAGAAAGTTGATATATTGTGGAAATCTGACGTGCAGCCGTGTGTAGAGATAGGCCACATAACCACAATATATATGTTGATTATTTTAATATCGGTGTCGTAATCGTACCTTTCATATAATAACTGGGATTGTCACACAAAAGGTAGGATCCCAAGTTTCATAAAAAAGTTAGAGGCGACCTTCGTACCAGTTAAAGTTTTGACTGAGTCGCTTGTTTATGGGTTAAGCATAAACTCTAAAGTGTTATATGTTCTTCTAGATATTGATCCTGTGTTATAAATAGACGTAACATTTAAGAACGAAGATAACTGTTTGTAAAATAAATGTAGCTTATCAGGCAGACGCCTGAATTATTATCGTGAATGTAATTTGTGTTTGTTTGGGTACCACGAGGATCGGATTAGAATATTAGTGATCACGCCCGATGGTTGGCAGTTTGTTTATCTAGTTAGCGACAAATCAAAAGGCACCTACATTTTTTAAAACGTACAAGAGTTATTGTCGATGCTTTAATAACTTCGTTATGATTAGTGTATTGATTTACCTATTTCACAAATGATGTTTCTCTCGTTTTCGTACATTGCACTATATCTATCGAACTGTCATGATGTAGCCGACCCGCCACTGTTTATTATAAAATAAAAATAGCACCTTTGATATAAATTTGTTGACTTCCTTGCTCTGTTGGCGAGTATAGAGGTTAATAGAGGTTATAATAATACTAATAAGAGACAGAATCAGGGAGGCAGAGCTGGGAAATTTAGTAGGTTCGGTTTCCGATGCGAAGGTTAAGCAACATTCGCAAGGGCCAAATGGGTGATCGAAAAATATTCTTCGTAGTTCACCGATCTGAACTCGACCCCGTGGTTAGTGATGACCCGCTTTCCTTTTTATGATTCCATCTATTGGAAGACTTGAAGGCCTCCGTTTGTTCACGAATGAAAATTCAGAAAATTTGGTACTGTTCTTATAATTTTATATATCATAAATGATCGAGAAATAAGTTTCTTTGGAATCGTATTACCGTTTCGGAAACCGATGAGATTTGGTTTTCGGAAGCAGAGTAGGCCTTTTGTGCTCCACCAGTTTTATCATTAGCCTAGTTGATGAAACCGCACTGTAAAATGCAATGTATAGGTAATAAATCAAAAACATTTTAATTAGTATCAGACACTAAACAAAATTAATAAATCCTCCGAGACTTAATGAACATTCTAGTTAAAATTTTTAGGCTCAACGAAGTATTAGAAGCACTAGGCAAGATACCGATTCTTCCCGCGTTGCAATTGAACGCGGAGGCGCACCGGTTTTCGGCGTTCGACGTTTTCGAGGAGACTGACTTCGAAGGTCACCACTATGGAGTTAGTCAGCGGCTGGACAGTTCCGAAAATAAGACTGGCCAGGATTTCGGTGTGGAAGCTCTTAAGTTATCTGAGGAAGATGGTGAGTGGGTTATGTTTGTTATAATGTTTCTGGTTATAAAGGAGATAAGATTGCTTTTGAGTTGTTTCAGCAGTTGTTATTAGATGATTTTTATACTAATCCCATTTCAAAATTCTTGTAGATTTGATGAAATTTTAATCATACAGTTATGATAACTATTTGTATTAAATTATTATAAATAAAACTAAACTTCTCAAAAAATATATATTAAGGCTATAGATAATATTAACTTGTTGTAACACTACACAATTTTAGAAGAGTGAATAATGGCAAAATCAATTGCGGGTGAATTGATTTTGGATTTAATTTATTAAACCAATGCAATAAAATTATAAATAGATTTAAATTGTACACTAATATAAAATTTGAACAGTCTAAAACCAATGTTGATAAAATTTTTTACAGAGAATATTGAATCGTGTGTACGTGTGTATTGAACGTTGTTAGTAATCGCGACAGACTTAAAACCGCCAGCTAAAATAAATATGTGACGTTCGTCACTTACTTATCAAGCCGTTGCCATTGCTTTTTCAGCGTCAATCGCTTTTAAATAGATTACTAAAGCTCACTCATAGACGAATTTTGTAGAAACCCAAATGTTAGATTACTAGTGGCAACCTTTTCGGTTTTCTTTTTAGTTTAAAAGTAAATTAGTTTTCAAAACTCAATAAACAGTTCCTATTCTATTTGTACTTTTTATATTGATATCTAAGTTTCGAACTTTGCAAATTCCAGCTATTTTAAAAAGAAAGGAAATAACTGTCTTTGGTCCATTCGTTTCCTGTAAAAATCAATTTTTGCTAGAGTCGCCATCTAGTGGAGGTGCTTTTTTAGTGTTTTTGTTTTTTTTTAATATTTCCTCATTCAGGAATACACAAATATTTTAACTTAATAACATAGTACGTGAAGTTAAAGTAGACAGCATTATCAATACTGCTAAATATAATAGTTAAATAGAATAGTCATGATCACAGAGAACAAATAATTCAGGTGTATAAAGGACATTTTCAATTGGTTGTATAAGTTTTATACTAAGCGCGATCGGTATATAGTCGACAATAGTCTGTCCTGCAGAAGTGTGTTCTTTTGAACATTATAATGCTCAAAATAATATCTTTGATAATAATTCTAAAATAAAAAGTCGTGGGTTTCGATATTTTTTCTATATAATGATATAACAAAACAAAATAGCAAAGAAAATATTAAAAGTATACAAAAAGTATATAAAGAGGTGTTACTGTCGTCGTCGGCAACAATCGTCATCAAAAAAAAAAAACGCGGCAATCATATGGTATATTAATATTGATGGTCGGAACTGTGGATGTGACTTATTTCTTTTTTTTATTATACTAATAAAAAAGAGGAAAAATTTGTTTGTTTGCCAATCAATAATAGACTAATACTGGACTGTTTTTCAAAAAGTCTGTCAAATATTATTAATGAAAAATGATTTATAAATCCACTTTGTCCCTGGTACTCTGATGGGACTCGAACCCGCGACCTTTCGCAATCCGGGCTACTTCTCTAACCACTGAGATACTCAGGACCTTTAAGCACATTCATTAAAAATATTTTCCAGTATAGTATTGTGAATATATAATTGATCAAATATAATAAGACTGTCTGTCACTTACGGAAAGCTATAATTTACGTCGGTGTAGTCGGCGGGAAAGGAGTTAGTCTTCATATAAATTGTTTAAGAATATTTCTTTTTTAATTAAAGAAATGCTATTCACTAAAATTAAACAATATGACGCTAGGTATCACTAAATACTACAATAATATTGGGTAATACTCTTTTCAGTTTTCGAACAAAAAGACGCGGTTCATTCGTCAGAGTCAGATCAACAAATAGAAGAATCAGACGAAGGAGTCACTTTTCGAGCCCATTCATATGAAAGCAAAGAGGAGCCAACGCTACTACACTGGATACTGGCACAAGGAAATAAAGCTTCCTTGCAGGACATCCTTGATTACTGTCAGAAAGGACTAGCTTTGGTAAGAAAAAGTATAAATATTTTCAGGGTTCCCATACCTAAAGGGTACAACAAACGATATTTTTTTTGTGATGATTGTACGGAACTGTTCGTGCGCGAGTTCGGCTCGCACTTGTCCGGTTTTTGTAGATCTACTAAAAGTACAAACGCATTACATTTTTCAAGATAAAACTATAATTAATTTTAATCGTAACTACCAACGTATTAAGGCTTAAAATTTGTTTGGAAAAAGTCTCTCATTTTCTAGTAACCTGACGTGATATCAACAGTTCATGTTTCCTAATTAAGGTGAATAAATTTTCTCTAAAAATGCAGATTGTGTGTAGTTTATTCCACAGAATTGAAAATGTGTCATATAAATTGTCAATTCACAGCAAAGTGTTTTAGTATGCGTCTTTTCTAATGTTCACGTTACTTAGTGTAATGGTTTCAATTGTTTTTAAATGAGTTTGTTATTATTGACATATAACCAAAACCGCCTGATGACTTAACTGACTGAAAAAATAACAAGAAACATTTAACGACAAACAACTGACAATGTTAAAAACTAGATATATGAGTTTGTTTAGTGATATAATAAAAACGAATTTTCTTGAATTAAAATTTTTGTTTCTGGGAACAAACATGATACACTTATTTTTAATGAAATTTATTAAACTCTTCCACATTGTTTTTGTATCGAGATAATCGGAGCCCTAGAACAGTGGTTCTTAACCTTTCTCGGCTGGCGACCCAAAATAAAAATCTATTTGAAGCCCGCGACCCTTACTGATTTATTTATGTATCAGTGTTACCACCTGCGACCTGCTTTTGGGGTCGCGGTGTTAAGAAAAGTAGGCTTAGTGATATCTGAAGCTCTAAAAAAAATATGTAACAATAAATTATGAAAGATGTTGGAAGTTACTATTTTATTTCTGTAAAATTCAGATTTATAATCTGTGTATTACAACGTCACAGTTGAATTAATTATACGTCAAGAACGCAAGTGCAAGCAGTACTCATGTTTATAGAAATGAGATGTCACAGCTCGAAATGTCACACGACTGATTGTTTTAGCGGGACAGTTTAAATTAGTGAATAAAAATATGTTTTTCCTTTCTTAGTAACACTTTTTGGGGAAAAATATATCTGATTATAGTATAATAGTAGTGGACTGTAGGTTTAAAATTGTCTGAGATATCTCAATTTCTACTGCAATCACTGCTTGCAATGATTACCGAGAGTTCAGATTTTTCATTAAAATTAGTTCAGTAATTTATGCGTGAAAACTTAACTGACACACAAAGACAGACAAGAGTTACTTTCGCATTTATATTATTAGTATTTTTATATATGGTTATGTATCTCAGAAATGGACGTCGTAATATTTTGTCTGCTAATGTCCGATCTCCACCAACCGTGCGGCGCCGGAGCGTTGCGGAGAGCATTTCACATTGTGCTAAAGGAAATGAGGAGTTCTATACAATAGAGCTGATGACGGAGTAAAAAAAATCTATTTAGTCCCGTTAGTCACATAATAGAAAAATATTAGCGACGTATTTTTTTTTGCTTCAATTTAACGAGAAATGGTTTAGATAATAAGAATTAAGTTAGAGGACTGGGGACTCGGTGTGTCACAACTATGTAGAAAACGTACAAAGGTGTGACGTCATGCGATATTCGAACTCGGTGTATCGTCATATAATTTATTGATCATTAAAAAAAATACGTGTTCAATGTTCTTTAATAATCTATCCGACGGATTGACAAACGAAAATTATTAATTATCCCTGTTATTAAGATCCACTTGCTTGGTTTCCAGCAGATGTAGCGTCGGACGGGGCCGACGTGTGCTCTGTTGGTGGAAATCGTACTAAACTATCGTATATAAATAAATATTTCTATTGATTCATTATTTTTTTGAGTGTTCCTTTAGATAAAAAATGTCTGACAAGTCAGCTATTAAATAGTTTTTTTTTGGCAGATCGACGTTGAACCTCTGAAGGAACACGAAGACCAGTTATGTCACAACCTCAAGTACGCCAACGATCACGGGCTGAAGCAGATAACCGGTATCGAGGCGCGGCTATTTGGACTGGACCAGTTACTCAGCGAGGTGAAGAAGTTAGAGCGTGATCAGCGAGATCAGGCTGCATCACTCATACAGGTATTTGGAAATATATTTCAAAATTCTTTGAAATTGTATATATCTACGTTCATATTAAAAATGCATTGTTTACAATGAATTAACTCAGAAACTCCTGTGGTGCTATTATGTTAAAAAAAACAGCCTCGAACTCGTTTCGGAATGCAGCGTTTTTATGTATAAAACTGGTTTTGAATTTTTTAGTGATGTGGTAATAAAAAAATATATATGCAAAAATTCGATATATTTCTAATAGAGATAATCGATTTTGATGTCAATGTATAAAACAGAATTTATGAAAAGTACTTATTCATCAACAAGATAAACCCGAATCAGAAAAATACAAAATTTAATTATAGTAAAGTTTAATGTTGCCTTCAATAATTAAAAAATTTACAAATTATTAACAAATAGATATTTTGATGATTTTAAAAATTTGAAGACTCATATAAACATTAAGTAACAATTGTTAGTTATAGAAACAAAAATTAGTAATTAAAAAGTAAAATGAAAGTGAACAAGTTTGACTTCAAATGTAATCTTTATCTGAAATACAAATTTGAGATAGTCTATAAGAATGTACGTTATAATAAGTATGTACCTATAAAAAGTATAAAATAAAATAAATAATAAAAAGATTAGGTTTTAGAGTCGGGATTTTTTAAATTTTTAATTGAATTTTTGGCTCGCTTGTCATAACGTCAAAGTACCCCATTAGAGAAATGACATTTTAAATCTATGTTTTGAGAAATTTATTATTATTCAATAATACTCAAATCGATTAACAATTAATTGAACTTTTTTAAAATATAATTTAAATCATATTATTTATTAAATTGATAAAATATAAATAAATGTCTAAAACATCCTTTAAATCAAAATCTATTGTTTATTTTGCGATATAATACGTTGATGTTAAATTTTTATATTCTCGTCACATCCGCCCTTAAAAATCACATTGCGTTAGAGTATTTTGAATTTTCCTCATTGTGTTTTGCACTTTTCAATAATTCTTTTCCAGACGAAAAAGAAATACAATTTAAATCTATTTAAATATTCATGATTCTAAAGCAATAATTATTGCATGAAATATTTTTAAGCCTTTTTTGAATCAGACGCATATGTATTTCATATTTCATGTGATGTACGATTTGTTGCAGTATCGGGACCGTTTGAATTCAGCGTGCGATCCGTCGGTGCTGCCGACGTTGGTGCAGTCGCACTTGTGTCAGCTGGAGAAGCTGCTGAGAGGTCACCAGGTGTTGGTGGACAGACGTAGGCGCATTTCCAACTCGAAGGATGAACTGTGTCAAGTGCTCAAGGCGAGATTAGAGTGAGCGAATTAATTTTAACTGGTTTAAAAATTAAGGAAACAGTGTTTGTCTTTCAAAGTCTAATAAGGCCCACTGTTATGGACTACTTGTGTATTTAAATGCCAACTACAATACTTCTTAATTACATTATCACCACCAAATGATCAGGAAGTACGTATTATTATTTAAAGTTATTAAACATGGGCTTTCATCAGCGGTTAAAAGCAGTTGTTGTTGGCCTTATTAGGCGATAGTACCTTAATTATTGTTTTTTGTTCACTTATGTTTATATTTTATTAATCAATTTTTTTTAAGAATCACTTTTACCAAATTATATACAAATTTAATAAGGCTTTCAACCGCGGTGAATTTTCGTATAGATAGATAGACCACCGACTCTAATTCAGAGTAACATCTCAACCAAAGCGATTAAGTATGTCTATGTATTTATAGTTGTAACACCAGAATTTTTTGTGTCACCAGGTTTGTGCTGAAATTGGAGAACTCTATGTCTGTGCAAGACGCTCACGCGATGCTCTCGTTCCAATGTTTCAATCGTCTGGAGCGCTACTTCGGTATCGTCGCGCAGTTGCATCGCGCGCCCGCCGTTTTCGTGCGCGCCGTGCACGAAGTTGTAAGACGTAGAACATTCTCGCAGGCCCACATCATGGTATGTTTTATTTATTAACTAGCTGTTTGCCCTTGACTTCGTACGCGTAAATAGGGGTGTAGACAATTTAAAGAAATATATGTTATTTTATAAACTATTTTATTATATCTAAAAAAATAATTAAAAAATATCATTCACACATATAATAAGCTAAAATCTAGAAATTAATTTAATTTTTAAAACTTCCCGCAAAAACGCCATTTTATGGTGTCACTATGACGTCATAGCACGTTATCGTTCTATGTATGCATACGGTTGAATTCTCTTAAGTTATGATATGAGTAAGAAGGGCATGAAGTCACACTCTTGCGGTCACGTGACGACAGATATAAAATATTTATATTTTTTTTTATAATTAGTTTGAGCAATATTGTAAATATAATAAGCATAAAAGTGTGCTTATCGGTAATAGTATATAAACACTACCAAAAAAAAAATTCGTTTATTGTGCACACCCGTGGTATGATTCATTATCTATGAATCATACCACGTACGACGTATGACGTAGCTACCCGTAGTTGAAAGTATTTTTGAAATATGTCCAGTAGTATTGGAGCCTCTTTGACAAACAAATCTTTCCTCTTTATAATATTAGTATAGATTGGTATACAAACAGACAAAAAATTCATTTGAAATTTCATCGTCATCATCAGCACCTTTGTGAGATTTTCAGTTGCGTGCTTACTCTAGAAAGTAATCGCGACCGATCGATATTGCAATCGTATATTTTATTTGGTACACTAGCGACGATTGACTCAATATTTCGTGGTTATTGAATGAACTAGTTAACATTGAGTAAGTATTGAGTTTATGTTTCAAGAGTATGAGCTAAGATTTGATCAAAATTGATATTGTCATTGGATTGTATTGAAATTGACATTGAGATTGCGTTCAAGAGTAAGTCTGCTGGTTGCTTTAAAGATCTCAAAAACAGCGTTTTTAGGTAACCTGAAATGGTGTTGAGTCCGGAGGGTACATCATTTGTGTCATTATTTTTTTTTATATTCAGTGGGCCACAGATCTAGCGGCGAAGCTACTTAAAATCCATGACGAAGAAGTCGGTCGACGGCAAGAATTCAACACGCTATTCGAGGGCCACTTCCTGAGAAGTTTGTTCCCGGGCATGACAGAGTTGCCACCATCTTTTGCGACTCAAGCGCCACCCGTATTTGATGCGAGACTACCGAAACTCACAGAAGTAGACGTGGAGTTTATAAGTAATGCGTTTCCGCAGTTAGCGAGTGATGTGCCTAGCTATGATATGGAATCAATCGTGAAATTCTTTAGGCAAAGGTTAGTTTGTTATATATTAGCCCGTTTTCAAAATAAATTCCGATATATTAATTTTTATAAATGATTATTTACTTGTTACAAATATTATAATAATATTGCAGGTTAAATGCGTCCGAACACTCTGAAAGAGAGGTGTACGTTCAAGCGGACTTGGACAAGTAAGTGGCAAATGGATGAAAAAAGATTTGAGTTTTATTTACGTAGCATAAAGTTTAGATTGCATTTTATTTAAGAATATCCATATTTGACATAATTCACTTTGTTTTGTAAATATTTTGAAATTATATTTTAATCCAAACTAAACGATTTTAGGTATTTAAATATTTCATATTACTATGTGTCAGAATAATAATGTATGCTGTTTCTGATATTCTATTAAAGCAGAATGCAAAACTTAAATTTCCAAAAAAACTCGATATTCGTTTAAAGCAAAAGTTGCAAACCCATACAGTCTCAAATTAGAATATCAATTAAAGCTTAAAGTCGTAATTTAACCTTAATACATGTTTCTGCAACTGGGCGGAAGTCGTTTTTATTGGTGGAAGTTGTCAAACAAATAACTGGCTTCTGATAGCATCAAATGTTTTGTAGGGATCCAGAATCTGAAGGGGAGACGGGTGAATTCGAGCAACTCGGCCGGCAGACGTCCGAAACGCATAAAACGGACACGTCCACGACGTGCGCGCCGGACACAGCGTGCGTGTCCGTTGTTACCGAGGTGCGAACGTTACCGGTGATAATGGAGTCGTCGGGCAGTCCGCACGAGTTCGTTGACTCTGAGTTCTACATCGAGGAGTCGTTACCATCGAGTCTGGAATGGGGCCGGCAAGAAAGACAGGTGCACGTGCACGTAATACGCCCCCCACGGTCTACGTATAGTACGCTCGAATATCCGTTGAAATTTTTACACACAAAATTTGCTCATTTCATGTAAATGTCAAGTATCTTTAGGGTTTTCTAACACTTGTTCAGAGTTTCTTTTAACTGATGAGAAGAACGAGCGAAAAAAACTCACCAGCTCTAACAGAAGTAACGACATTTTAATCAATTAACTAATTTGATATGTTAATATTAACAATTTGTATTAAGTTTTTTCAGTCCGTATTCTGTTACCGTCATCATTCGATCATTTCATAATAAAAATAAAATTTCTGATTATATATATCCGATAAACTTAGTTATTATACGGAAAACTATGGGTAATAATATCGCTTGTTTTAATATTGTTGTCATCTACAGCTATTACCAGTGGCTAACCTACATTGAGTCCATTATTATTATATTTCGTTAATATAATAATAATATATATTTTTAAATTCTTCTACGTATTGAAAATGAAATGAGATAGTGTGAGAAAGCATTAATTCTGTAAAGACGAATATTCGTGTGTACATTATTAGATATCGGGCAATAGTGATTGGTTGTGAGACTTTGGTTTACCTGCTACGAGAAATTCTATTTTGAAAGCTTGAAATAAATTTGTCTATGATTTAAAGGTTCAATAGATTAGGTTCAGTAGATTATATGTTACATTCAAAGGTTTAGTATATTTTGTTTTGAAGTGACTGAAGTCTCATAAATATTATGGATGCGTTAATATAGTATTATTTTTGGTTGCTCCTGTCTTCACCGGCCCCGTACGCCGTAGTTTATAGCCACTCCTTATTTTGCATTTTTATTAATATTAAACAAGAAAGTTAATATACTGTTAGTATGTACTGTCACAATTTTAATTCGGCATTTGGCTATTTGACTGTTTTATATTTTAAAACTTTCATATGATTTGACTAAACTACTCTAAATTTTATATTTCTCCATTATCAAATAAAATTAAGACAATGTTATTCGTTTATATTAAGTTGTCCCGCGAAAATAATCGCGGGACAATCGAACCGAACTGAGTCAATCAATCGAACTGAGGCGTCACATTTCAATGTACAAAGTACTGTTAGCATTCGCAATAAAGACGTTAAAGTTTATATTATCGCAATAAAGCCGTTAAAGTTTATTTTATTGACGTCACGTGACGTCTACGTCATGGCCGCCAGGGTTTCGGATTTTTTAATTCACATATTATAAATCAAAAGATAATTTTGTGAAATGAACTGTACTTTCTAAGAACAAAAAATACTAGTCAGTTATTGTTTACATATAACTTACCCTCCCCAACATTTTTCATAGCTTAATCTCATACCTGTCAAGTAGCCAATTATTTGAGTATATTTTCATATTGGATTAACGTGAACTTAGATGTTTTATACCGTTAGCACGAATAATTATTGAGTGCAGAAAAAAAGGTATCGAAAATAAATATTAAAATGTTTGTATTGATAATCCTAGTTCCTTTCACAGTGGAAGATGGAGCTGTGCAAATATATATTTTTTTTTATAAATGCTCGATACGAATTCAATTCGCATTCTATAGTTTGAGTATTAAGGATATTTTGGGCTGATAGCAGATAAATTTGAGCCGAATGAAGCGAATGAAATTATATTTTTTTTATACCACACAATTTTGACAGGTTCCATTCGAATTCTGGCGGTTCATAATTGTTTTATAATTTGTTTCTTTCGTCACCTTTGGCGCGGGCTATGAGGATTGATGTGCGTTTCCTTTTAATCACGATTTTTACATTGCGTTGCTAAGAATATGTCATGTATACATTAATTTCATAACAGCGATGGAAGATTTTAAACGTGTCTTAATATTTTTCAGGACAACATGGACACACATAAAATTAATATGGAAAAACTACAAGACTTCTTAGTGAAATTGTGCACTCTGTGCCGCGCCAATGTTATATTTATTAGAGAAGAATTGGCGAACTTAAAAGATGATATAGAGTCGCACAAGAATTTTATAAATAGTCTGTATTTGGAAGTGGTCGACGCTTGTGAGAAGAGTTGCACTGAAATTGCTCTGCGGCACAGAGAACAAACACAAAGACTGACAGTTGATCACGAGTTAGAATTAAGCGATATGAAAGCGATGCTCACGCAAAAAGATGACGTCATCGAAGCATTGACGAAAGAGAAGGACAATATGAAGTTAGGACAACAGAAAGAGATAGATAAGCTGAACAGCGAACACCAAAGCACTAAGGAGTTACTTGAAAAGTCTCGGGCGGAGATAGATAGTTTTGCAAAGAAATTAGAAGAAATGGAATCACAAAAACATAAAGATATAAAAGATATGCAAGAAAAATTACATATGGATTATAAAGCTGAAATTGAGTCACTACGATCCAGGTGAATATGAATTGGATAAGTAATTACTCACAACTAAAATAAAATACATAGTAAAATATAAAATTAAAATACACTATGTCATCTCTTAATCAGTTAAAAAGTCTGAAACCGTGATAATCAACCAAGAACGTTTTATTTATAAATGCTTATTTAAGCGTAATAATTTTCTTATTTGCACAGCATTCAGTATCATGTCCTTTGTCCTTTTAACTAAAATATGGATACTGATATGCCATAATGTTGATTTTCGTTTATTACCAGGTTCCGTCTAGTGGCATTAACGAACATGGATCGTTCGCCGTCCGAATCTAGTCTCGAGAAAATTGAGCGAACAGATGTGATAGAGATAACCAGTCATAACGCGATAGTGATGCAGACTAAAGAGAATGCCGAGATGGAGAAAGAGGAAGCGGTAAAGGAGGCCGTTTTAAAGCTGGAGGCCGAGTGGAAACAGAGGCTTGAGGTCGAAGTGAGCCAGCTCAAGGCCAAACTTGATCCTGAGAAGGTCTTCATCTTAAAATTGTTGTTTGTAGTTGCGATAAATTATTTGATGCGTTTTTGGAAAGTGCAAATTAAATAATAATCTTTTATTTTTTAAAGGCGGCAATAAATGAAACGACTCGCCGTCTCATTGCCGAAAAAGATCGTCAGTTGGAATTGATGCGAGAACGGGAGCAAGTGCTGGTTCGAGAATGTACCAAATACAGGGACACTATACAGCAATTGACAGACCCTGAGACTAATGACTATGATTCACTGCTCAAGGCGCAGGTATAACACAATCATAGAATAAAACCTATTTGTTTATTCTGCTTTTGAAAGAATAACGTTATTGTCATTGTTCTTTTGTGCAACTTTACCCTTTATGACCCCTATAATAAAACCCAAGATAGGTTTGGGTTTTTCAATAAGAATATTTAACAAATTTTGGATTAGAGTTTTAACAATAACAAACCTTATTTAATCCCAGTAATTCTTTGAACAATTCTATCTTTGTAATTATTATGGGGATTAAGTGTAGACTATAATCACCTAAAACACAGCGTGAAGTCCCTAGATTGTATGTATCTATTTATGTTTGGATGTCAGTAATAATAAGACTGTCTTAAATTTTAGTTTGCTACGCTAGAAAACGAGAAAGCGGTGTTGCAACAACAAGTTCAAGATCTGAAAAAAGAATTGGAGAAGAAAGCGGAAGATAACGAAAAAGCTAAAGACGACGATAGCGATGGCAGGTAAAGACAATTTGATATCTATAATTCAACAGTTTCCAAATTGAAAATTTCCAAATTCTTGTCTCTCATTTTATAAGTAGAAAGTATAATATCCATTAATATTAATTAATTAAATTATGTAAAAAGAAATTGATTTACGGTCAGTTGCACTAACGTTCATCAAGGTTTAATGACGCCTTTAAGCTCTAATGAATGACGAATTTGTATGCGTAATGTCGCTTATACTAATGACAATTTTAATGGACGTTTGTGCAACTGGCGATGAAGAATTTTTTTTACAATTACAAAATGATTATACATCTGGAATTGCTTATCACCAAATTGATTTATAAACTACTTCTGATTCAAAGTTTAGGTACTACATTATTTTTTAATTAATTTAACCGAATCTCGACAAATAATCTCCAATAGATGCCGCATGAAAGACAGCAAGCTATAGCCAATACTCAGTATAGATCTTTTTAGCAAAATTTGTAATACACGTATGAGAGATTAATAACACAGGTCTGCGAAATTATTTTTTGAAAAGTTTTTTTCGTAAACTGTTCTTAATAATAATAATAAATATAAATAATAAATAATATTAAACAGCATTTATTTGGTATATATCACGTCACACTTCCCAGATTTACATGGTATAATATTAGCATATAGATAACTACAAGTCAAAATTTTTAAAAAATAATGAAAAGGTTTTTTTTGTAATTTTATAAGCTTTATTGAGTTTGCATGAAATAAAAAAGATTAAAATTAAAGACGAATAAAAAAAACAATCAATAACGTATTTTCTTTGAAAGAAAACTGCGTTTTGTTGGTTTTTTGTTTATGAGTTTTTACTTCTATTATACATATCATTCAATAATAGTCCGCCATCATATTAACGTCCCAACGGCCTTGAAATATTCTTTCCATATCTTTTATATCTCGATGGACTGTAATCGCATAAATTTTTTGGGAAAACATTATTGGGACAATATGAGATTTCAAAAAATAGACTTTCCAACTCATATTACAACCTATGTTTTTATAGGCGTTTAATATTTCTGTGAAAATACTTTTATGATTACTCCAACCTCTAATTTTGGTCTAATACGCCAATCAGATATTTCCCAATGTTAGTTTCTTGCTCTACTTTCCCATTCACAAATAAAATACGGGAATTTTGTGTACCCTTGCTGTTGACCAAGAAGCATACATATGAGTTTTAAGTTTCCCCAAATTAACCATTTGTGTTTGGAGTATTTTATGTACTCTAAAACAGTTCTCAAGTTTGCATAACTGAAAAGATTAACCGAGTGAGCTACAGGTATTGATGCAAATTTATTGCCAATATGTAAGAGAAGAGCTTTTAAACTTCTTTTGAAGAATCTATAAAAAGACGCCACTCTTCTGCTTTGTATTCGATGTCAAATTTTTATATTAAACCGCTAATATCACAGCAAAATACCAAACTCTGTTCTATCTTCAAATTCTGTTAAAATTTTGTTCTCTTTTTCGATATCACTAAAATGTCGTCTCCGCATCCAATAAATTGTTCTCTTTTAAGCGTGAATCGAGTAATTCTGCACTATCTTTGGGTAATCTGACTGAATGGTCGAGGTTCATTTGTAAAGTGTATGAAAAATTTATTATAAATATAATATGCCGATAAAAAAAATGTGACGTGTTACAATAAAAAAAAGTTTATATTTGCATTATGTATGTCAACATGTGCAAGTTATTCTTAAAATTCTCAAAAAAACTTTTTCATTGCAGACCTGTGTAATCAATATTTCTCAATATACCTACAGTACCTATGTTAACTACTTTAAGGTATTTTAGAACATACATATTTTAAATTTTAATACTTGTTTGTATTGAAAAGTCCAAAGTCTGCAACTTTTGCGTTTTCCCCCAAATTTTTCGAAAATTTAACTTAATATTTTTATATGAGCGCAGTGGTGCAACACTTTAATTTTTGATGTATGTTTTGTACCTTAATGCATTTTATCACTTTGAATTTAAAAGTGTAGTAGGTAAAGCGGTGCTACAAGAAATGCAAAACTAGTGTTTTTTTTACAAAATTGTTTTTTGAAAGATATTCTCACTGAATTGAAAGTTAGTGATTTTAGGCGTACGCGCTCACTGAATGCCTTGCCATCTTTATTTTTTTTTTAAATAGTCATCATGCGGTATCTATTGGAGGTTAAGGTTTCGATTAAAGTCTTCCTGACGGACACAAATCTCATCCCCAAAAAAACTTTTGCATTTTTGATCTCATATGTATAGGCGATTTGTTTTTATTAGGTCATCACCTAAAGGCGAAGGTCGCAAGGTGAGGTCTCGTTGTCACACGCCGCTCGGTCTAGCCGCGGGCACGCTCAGTCTGTCCTCGTGTATACCAGGGCATACTGTACTGGTTATGTGGGATCCAGCACATCTCAATTATACTGTCATGCAGGTACATTTACAATAAACAATTATTATGTTTTTCATTTGCTTTTCGCCAGCGGCTTTGTCCACGTGATCCCTAGGGAACTGTTTAAATGGATATATATTCATATAATGACACGGTTACAATCACAATGAAAAATTGAATAGTAAACAGTCGTTACTATGGTAACGTTTAGCCAAGAATAGAAACTATAAATAGTTTCTATTCTTGGCTTGGTGACGTCCAAATTTAATAAACTCCAAACGCAAAAAAAGGAGCAAATATACAGAGACGTCATTGCAATCAAACCGTATGATTTTGAAAGCTACTTAATAGAATTACTTTAATGTTATTTTACTGTTTGTTGTTTCATAATTAGAGATATGACAGAAATTTGATATTTAGACCATTTGTCTAAATACATAATTAGATAAGTGATTGTCATAAAGATTTGTTGTTTCAGGAAGCTTCGATAATGTATTTCGTTCATAGTGACTGTTTACCAGCCCTCGATCTTAGCATACAAGTAAAGAACGAAAGTGAAAGAAAACTATACGCGATAGCTACCGTGGAATCGAAGGAATATTGTTATGCTAAGAAGGTAAGAATCATTAGAAATAATAAAAATGTACGCGTACACATATACTATTTAAATTATGCGCCTCGGTATATTTCGTGTTTACGAATTTAACCGATCAAGAAACCTACATATGTCGTCGATCGATCGATCGTCGTTTTAGCCGCCAAAACTCGCCAGTACCTCGACTGTGATGAAAGTGACAGCACGCAATATTTCAGTATTAAGAATTGTATAGAGCTGTAAATTTACCTTATTTGAATATAGGTACTAAAACATGGGTTCCAGTAGCGACAGTAATGATTCTGAGTCTGAAATGTCGGGTATAGAAGTCATATCAAATTGTGATTATTTGATAAATTTATATTAATTGATGAATTTTGTTTTATTAAAAAAACTGTTCTACTAAATGGTGTGGTGGTGGTGAAACTTATTTATATAGTACAACCGATTTATCTTAATTCGATTTTCTTTAATCTGGGGTTTTCATTTTGGTATCAGCTGATGGCAAGAAACAGAGTATACTTTTATTTTTAAATTGGCTGACCTAATCTAAATTTAAGCGAACTGAAAAATTATCTAATAACTCTATATAGATATCTTTAAAATACATTAGGATTGCCGAAGCTTGACGAATATAGCCGAAGCGCATAATTTAAATAGTATATGTGTATATAGTATTACCTTTATTTTTTTTATGTCTATTGTAATCATTAACAGTGTTATAAATAAACAAAGTTTAGCGTTGGAGTAAATTTAAGCTGAGACTGCACTTAGTATTAGTCAAAATTCATATTATTAAATAGAGACATAGCAAAGGTTAACCTAGTACGAGGTTCTACAGGAGTAAAATTTACTCCTAGAAGGTAGTAGGTATAATATGAATCTGGACGAATAATAACTTGGCTCTTCCGTTTCTTGAGGTTGCGAACCACTGGCATATGTCAATTTTACGGTTGATATCGAGTTTAATAGCGTATAATCATACTTAAAGCTGTATAGTTTATCTGCGTAGCATTTAAAATATTTTAAACGGTTTGTACGCAGAGTGGTAACCGGTACGGTATGCCGCGCGGTTCCCGTTTTTACCGCGTGCGCGTGCGACCGTTGCGACCGCATCCACCACATCCGACGTGTTGCGATTACAAACACAAACAAGGTAATAAATATTACTATAATACTCTCCCTAAGTTTTAGATCACTCATATCTGTTTGTAATTTATTTACAATAATTTATCTTCTTTTAGTTTGCAAACTATACATTTTGTCCTAAAGAAATGCGTTTAATGAATAATAAAAATCAAGCTTAGAGTTTTTTGTTGGTTTTGATATACTTTTGAAGTTTTTCTTTTCTTCTATGAATAACAAAAAAAAAACTATACTTTACAAAATTATTTAAAAAAATGTAATCATTTTAAATATATTTTGTATTAATGAATAAATTCCTGTGGATGAGGTTATCGATAACATTTTTATTCTTTGTATTCGAACTAATAAATCTGTTTTGTATATTTATTTAAATTAATAATAAAGCTAGGATTTATACAGCTTAGTGCTTCGTTGTTTGTTATCGCACAGACTATCCGTGTAGATGTTGTATGCTTTTGTTGTTTGCTTGTTAAAGGTAAACGCACATCTGTCAGAATGCATTGCGAATGAAAACATAATTAGTTTTCTTTATATAATGACATATTAATGACATACTATCACAGACATGCACCGTGAACGTCATTCTACATACATTAGAATGTTAATCGTGAACGTGTAAAATAAAGTCGTTCGTCCGCCTCCTTAGGCTCTGATAGATTTGTGAGCACCATAAATTAGCAATCTCTACATGTAATATGGATCGTGAAAATTTATACAAAAGTGTATCGTTTCTATTTTAATTAGGTATCTAATAATATCCACAATTTGTTTATAAAGCACCTCGGTGCACGACTGAGTAAGACAAATAAAATGTATTTTATTTAACATACATTTATTGACTGACAATACATAAAACCTACTATTTTCCGAGAAAACCCAGTGTTATTTTTCTTATTAATATTTTTTATAGAAAAGTTACTAAAAATTACATAGTTTAAGAACTAAAGATTTGTATTTGAACCAATGGTGAAATACTATTATTAATGTCTTTATATTTTAATGTTAAAGTTTCCCTTTTTATTTATGTTAACTATCAATTGATTCAACTCGTAAAATTATAAAGAAGCTACTTTTATTGTTTGGGATAGCACCATCATTCATTAAAGTCATAGTATATAATCTATTTTTAAATAAAATTGAAAACACTATACGTGATTTAGAATCGGTCGTTTTTCTCGCAAAGAATGGATTGTGTTACGAACCAATATCATGTAGAGATCGCTAAAGGTTCTGCATTTTTTTTTTTCGTATTATATGTAAGCATTAAAGGGGTCGATTAACGCGCGCGCGTACATTGCGTTGCAGATGTAATGAAAAGCAACGTGCTGTCCGTGCTCCCCGGAAATCGACCCGTCAAGAAGTGGTTGACCTACATGCATGCTCCAGGTCTCGCCTTTACTCTTCATCACACTGTATATGTTGCCTTACGCTATGTTTTAAGTTGCTTTTATGTCATAAATAGTAGTCGAAAGATACAACTTATGTGACTCACCGATTTACCTGTGGCAAATTCTGACCAATCTGAATGATAGTTTGCCGAGTGTGACTGGGCCGGACACCATAGTATTTTACACTTTAAGGCGTTTGAAACAAGACTCGTTATAAATTTTAATCATACGTTCGACTGTAGTTGGTATGGGTACGTCTACTCTGCGCAAACAAAGAGACACAAACACCATATTAGTTGGATCTTAATGTATTTATTAAAACTTCAGAAGACATGACTTGGATATTCTCATTAACTTCTTTCAGAAACTTTGAGTTATTGTGTCACTGTTTATTAAAGTTTAATAATGAAAATGTGATAATTTTAGACTATTCATGCCATGTCTACATGGTTACTAAGTATCCATATCAGAGGCTTAGGATAATTTGAATCCTACTTACGTCAAAGCCTAGTATCTGTCTAGTGATTTTGTAGCTGTCGAATTAAGATCTACTTTATCATGCATATAAATGAATAAATTATAATTAGACGAAAATGGATGAATATCCACTTACCTTAATGATGGAACTGTATTCGTCACATGGGAGCGACAAAAATAAGTGTTCTCACTCCAACATCGCCAGATCATTTTTAAATGAAATCATAACTAAATACCTTATCTAATATATAAAAAATATATGAGACCTTTTTTCTATCTCCTATTCTAAATTAAGTATAAAATTGATATTAAAAATACTAAAATGATTTGTTATATCAGATCCGTGGTCCGAGTTATGTCTATTTTAAAAGTTTAGATAAATTATAGTCTACTTTGTTAATCATTCACACAAACATTAATTCCATTCTATCTCCTTCACTAATATTATTATGTTCTGTCATCAGCACGTTAGCTTATACAAATCTCAGTCAAATTTCTTTATTTCATTTTAAACCTTAATGCGTTGATGGTACAGTTGAAAATCAATTGTGATAATGTAACCTGATGTGCTGCCGTGTGTACGTGAAATTAACCACTTTTGGCTTAATTCAAATATTTGTCTAATTAATTACTTTTATTATTGTGCAATAACATGCAAGTAATATTTGTAAATTAAATTTGGTTAATAAATTGTAATTTTGATAATGAGTTTGCCTGATGGTAGAATTTTTCAGGAGAAGATCCAATTTTTTAAATAATGTTAAATATATTGAAACTCAGATATATATCCTTTTTGTGTTAAAGAAAACCTAGTTAATATTTTAGTCTTTTACTGTCTATAAGAAACTAAGTTATTTTTTTGTGTAGAGCCAAAATAATTTTGGTCTTCAATTATGCGAATAATAGATTACAAAAATCTCGGCGTAGATGGCTGCATTAAGCAGCACATGTAGTAAACAAACACACTTTTGCGAACATTTTATTTTTTAGAAGTTAATTATTTTCTTCCCTGTTATCAAAATTACTCTCTTGTTAATAAAAAATATTAAAATTCCTATTATGCTCTCTGTTACTTTACTCTTTGTTCACTACTGTAAGAATTTCGATTTATGTTTTATTTTTAATTTATTGTGCTAATGCTGCAATTTGCACAGAAAGTTGTTGTATAGAATCTGTATAGAAGCAATTTACAATCATAATATCAAATCACATTTTTCTATTCAATTACTTATAATGCATGAGAAAATTTATAGCGTAACATATGATAAGGACAACCAATTAAATTAAATTTTATATTTAAATCGAACAATTTGTGGGCAGATATGCAAAAATCGGTGGACACGAGTCAGTCTACTACCGATGAATCGAGTAGAGTGGGCGAAGTGGTGACCGGCACTCTTATAAACTTGGACTCGCCCGTTTCGACGAGCGAACCCGCGTCAAGCGCTAGTGCGCCTGCACAGGGCGAAGACCAACTCGACTCGATAGAGGCGAGTGAGCAATGGCAGAACTCTAGGATGCAAATGTCTGCAAGCGTCGTGTAAGTAATATTAATCCTTTGTTTTAAGTTTGAAACTTTCGATCACATTTTAATTCTTTATTATATCATTTTAATGATTAGAATATGGCTCTGAAATTTTTGGTATGTCTCCTAATTTTCAACTCTTCTAGATTTAGAGTATATATAGTATATGGATAGAGTATAATTAATTAATGATTATTTCTGTTACGTCAATTTTTCAATGTTCTTTGTGTCGCCATCCCTTAGGTCCCGGGTTAGATTCCCGGTCGGATCAATGTAAAAAATAGACTTCTATTTTGTCTCAGGTCTTAGAAATGTGTTACCTTCATTGTCTCAGATACTTCATTAAACTTATAAATAACAAAAAAATAATTAAATGAATGACTGTAAAAATAATTGGATTCTTTTTTCTTCTAGAACGGATATGGAATGTAGCGTGGGTCGCATAGGGGTTACGCCCCTTGAATTGACAGTCAGCTCTGTGTCGGTGGTGGCTCGTGGGCCAGCACCCCCCGGCTCTGAGCTCGCTCAAGAAGCAGCGCCCTGACATACAAAGCGATTACACGATGGCTAGTTGTGAGCAAACCCTCATCAATAAAAAAAAACTTAACCGTTCAATGTTGCGGTCTTTTAATAAACACATGTGTCGACTTTTGGTTTCTAGTGAACTACGAAGCGACTTATTCTTATTTATGGGTTTAAAATAACTTAACCCTTTTAATATATAAGAAGTGTGTTATATTATGCCATGTCATATCGTAAATAATGACGTGTTTTAATTACGCTTTGTATCGGGCATAGAAATTTGTCAACTTTATAGAGGATATCGAATTTTGTATCGATAGTATCTTTAGATTCAGTTCAGTTTCAAACACGGACCGTTTCCGTTACTTGTTCTATATTACAGAATTTGTGGACATCTTAATGTGTCTACTTAACGAAAGTATTTATCTTGCAGAAAAAATACGTGAACGTCAAAAAATCGTTCCTCTTGTATTGGTTTTGTTTTGTTGTACCGGGTGAGTTCAGTGACTTGTGTCTGTCCGTTTTCGCCTGCCTTAGGAACAGCCTATAGTTGTGGCAACTCTATCCTAAGGCACATAATTAGTGGCGATACTGTCGATCGTATTGTCTTACGTGATATCAGACAATATTGTTTTTGTCCTTTATTTAAATGCCAATATTAGGATTCCTAATTCTATCATACTCAAACGATACTAAATTGAAGACTTTTTGAACCTTTCAAAAGATTTTAACATTTATGTAGTTTACGCAGAAATTTGTGTATCGGATTCAGAGAAAATTATTCATTTATTATCGACCTTATATCGTGAGAAGGTAGGTGCCAAATTGATTGCAGCGCAGTGCCTTTGTTTTACGATTGACGGTTGGAAGGCTAATTGATCGTAACGTCATTTTACAGTAGAGGTGTCCTTTAGATATTTTTTTTACTAATTACCTAGTTCCTTTACGAAATTTGGTGTTTCTAAAACCAAACTGGTTTTATAGAGTGAAGTAAATGGTTCAGCTGCACATGGTGACTAAAGTAAACGACAGTTTTCGATTTAAGCGATAATACTAACATGAAATAAAACTCTTTAGTACTGGATAATGATACTGGATAAACGACACAGTGATAAACTAGTTTTGCTATGTCGCTTAGACCATTTTGCAATCTTAACGCTCATTACATATTCAAAATTAGAAGACAAAATAGCCCAACAAAAAGGAATTAATGCTGTCAGGGGAATGTTAAGTACTTATGTATATTTAAATTGAGAGGTTTGAAGAGCCAAAATAGAGTTCATAGACCTTTAGCTCGAACGATAAAAAAATCATTGTCACCAAAAATGTTGATCTATCAATTAGTCTTTCGACCGTCGAAATCAAAATGTAATTCTTTTTGGAAAAATAAATCTTCATTATCTGAATTCAAAGGAATTATATTAATTGACACGAAAAATAATGTTCCTTATATGTGCAATGTGAGATTTATGAAAAGAAGTGAAAATATTTCTTTTTATGCTTCGATTAACAATATAACTAGATGTCCGGTCAGAGCCTTAAAAATGGCCGAAGACATAACAATAAAAAACAATAAATTAAATATTTTATAATTGCTGTCTGGTCCCTTATTACCAACGTTATATGTTTTACTAAGAAAAATAAAATTAACAATGCGATTCCATACTTACTTAGTTCCGAAGCTCAGTTTTCACCTAGAGTATTATCACAGAATCTACTCTGTATTATGTTCCTTGGTTGTCGCAGTGTATGCTCGATGGTTTCGTGCCGTATTCAAATATTGTTTTAGTATCTAGTTGTATTGTTGATCGAAATTTTTATTATAAAAAGTCATATACTTCACTTGATTTTTTCATAAATGAATTATTTTTATATTTAAATTTTGATATCACATAAAAATAAAAGCGCATAATCTTTGGTATTGTGTATATTTTTCCAGTCAGTGAGACGTTTACTAAACGATTTGTACATCTGCCATTCGTTTATACTTTTTTTTTTATTTTCTGCGAAATTATATTTAGAGTTTGTCATGATTGCACGTCTCATCGTACGTTACCGTGGTAGCAGTTGTTGTCTCATGCGTCCAAAGGGAATATTAAGTCAGTGCAATAAGAGTCATATTCGGTATTCCTAATTCCATGCATTATATTTGCTTCTGAACGGCAGTCAACCTAATGAGATGTCTTCCAAAGCTCCAACATTGGCGAGGAGGTTCACCGTCGCTCGGGATTAGATATCAGTTCCATGTAGAAGTAGATTTTGAATGAATTTGTTTTATTTATGTTTTAAAAGTGAATAACATTAGACTTGGATTGATCAATCTTTTTTTTAGTTAGAAATAGTATTGCAGTATTTTAAATCGAGTCATATCTATGGTTTGGAATTGTGTGCTTTGTCTTCTTTCAAATGCGTGACAGAAAAAGCATGACATTCTAAACCTTTTCAGAATTCTGTGAACGAGGTATGGAGGACATCTTGACCTACTGCAATTCTATTCGATTATTTTATACATAATCGTAAAATAGATTGGTTTTCTGAGTGAGTATATTGTCTCCCTATATTAGAAGTTAGACAAGTTTTAATATGTTTGGAGCGACTTGATTGATGATCAGAGTGATTTCGTTTCAAAATATTGGGACAGTGATTTTATTTTCTCTTTAGTACAAATTTATTTAGTCGTCTTTAGAGCTTTATAGATTTGTTTATACTTATACTATTTGTATCCATATTTATTAACATATTTTCTGTGTTACCTTTATTTAGTTCATCTTAAAAATGATATTTGTTTGTTATTCTAACCACTGAGTTTTTATTTTTTAAATATACATACATAATTATGTTTAGCGTCTTTAATGTGGTAGACTTATAATTGGTGATATATTTTAGAGCAGCACAAAATTGATAGTGAGAGATTTAATGATTTATATAATCAATTACTGTAGTAGGGTAATCCTTTGTAAACTATAAGGATGGTCGCCCTATTCATCCTTTAAGATTGTCCTAACTGTTACACTTAAATCTTGATCCTAAGTCATAGTAATTATTTAGAGGGAATGTCGTTCCCTAGTTTAGGAATTTCTCTTAAAAATAATTGATAGGCTTCTGCAAACAATAAACGCTTTAACATACGATCTCGATCTATCTCAATAGCTCCTTACTCCTAACAATGACGCACTAGTTGTAGTCTTAGATATTCTTAATAGATCTTTCACAAATGTTTCACGTCCTCGCAGATTAGACTTAGATTGGAGTTCCAACACTTATATCTTTTGTATTCTTTGCGCGTTGATTATTTTATTATACTATTGTGATTTTCTTGTAGATTTTTTTTTGTTGATCGGAGCGCATAATTCATCTTGTTTTAGAAGGACATGAGGATAATGCTTCGTGTGGAATTTGTTTGTGGCCTTATTATAAGTGGCGCCCAACGTGGGGCTACCCGTGCTACCAATCTCGTCTACAGTTATTACTGAATGGTAAATATAGACACAAGGTTGGTAGCGCTGTAATCGGCAATTGCCGACTGCTGTGATAGTGCGTGCTGTGCTCTCCTCGATTCCTAGCGAATAGTTTTGCGAGTACAAAACAATTTCAGTAAATAAAAAGATTTAATTATTATTAATGTTAGGGCCTACTTTTAAGGACGTAACTCACAAGTTATTCTAAATTATATAATGTTTTGTACTATCATAACTGTTCGTAATTTTCGACTCAAGCGGTATTCAAATATCGGAGTGGTTTGATAATCCTAATTACGTAGTTATCATAGTCGACGTTATGGGGTTGATTTAACTATTTGCTGTTAGCTTTGCATATTTATGGCTTGTCAATTTATAATTATACAAAGCGGGAATACGTCCGACTCTGATAATACGTTTTTGGTACCCAACTAAACATTTTTACGACACTGTGGCAATAAATCCACTAAATATCGTTCGAGGTTCGTACTCGGACGATTTCTATAATACCACTGGAGGTTACATGTATTGTTATTGTAAATAAATGTTCGAAGAGGTTATAGTAAGGTTTTAAAAAATTTGGATAGCAGCCGAATTTGTCTTATTTTGTAATCGTAAAGTTAATACGGTGAAAGGTCACGTTATTAATGGACTGGCGTTTTTGTATAGTGTTTATTGTAATACTGTGTTGTGCTGGACACAAAAGTTCACCGTTTTTATCATGTTGACGAATTTGTGTTTAGTTTTATCGATAAGTTCGTCGTTGAAATTATGATCAAAATTGTCATGTTGTTGTGTCATAAAGTATAAGTTTTTGGAATGTTTTGCAAATGCAAATGCATAATAAATCTATTGTGTGATCGCTTTATGGACTATTTTGTAGTGACCAATTTATCGTTAGAGAATAAAAATTAAAAATGTAAAATTGACAATTTTAATGTAATTTTTATATACAATAAATAGACGATTTTGTACAAATAATTGTTTTATTTGCTCACAGATCGAATGATAAGGTCGGTGCCAAATCTGATGAATACCAAGAATTTAGTACGAGTTGATGATCCGTTAATTGAATGTAAAATATATTTATCAGTTCTAACGTTCCGCGACGCATCATCCATCAGATATGCACCTATTCTAAAGATATTTAAAACTATAATTACAAATCGTCTCCGATGTAGGAACTAAAACGTGTTCAGTAATATACATATATTTCGGTTCATTATGACAAAAAACGAAAGACAAATAATCATAAAAAAGAATAACATTGTAAAAACTAATCATTTGACAAATATCTCATTACACAAATTTTATGAAGATCGTTTGACAAAATACAGAATTTGCAAATGTTTTAGGGTCGGTGCAAATTTGACTGAAGACCGTAGACCTCACGGAAGTACGCGACGAATCGTCCGTCGAGCGTGCAAGGTCGAATTTCCTATCGTATAATTTGTTAGTTCTGATTTTCCGTCAGATTTGTAGCGACCCTTTGCAAATATTTTAAATGTGAAACCATAATTAAAAACATATTAATTTGACCAAGTACTTTATACTGATTTGTGATTTTACAAAAAGAGGGCAGGTCATTTGTTACTTAATAATAAAATTCCATTTGAAGAAAACAATTAAGAGTGCCCTAACCAGTACTGGGTTTTGAATATAATAATGTTATGTAGTTTGTCAAATGATTTTTTGATATAATGAAATGTTTTCTTTCAATCATTTTGCAAATTGGTTATTTACAGAAAGAAGTTTGTAAAGTGATATTTTTATCAAGTATTTTTTTTTTAATAGAACAATTGTGATTCGTTTTTGGCAATGACAGAGGACATCATATATTACAGTAATCAGTACACAGTCTGATTACCCACCAATCTACACAGGGCTCGCGTGGTAGGTTATGGCCTATCCTCCCCATTTGGATTCGATTTCATCCATAGGGAAGACCTGTGCCCTAACAGTAGGGAAATTAATAGGCCGATGATGACAATCTGATTAAGATAAAAACTGGATGATTAAACTAAATTATTTACAATATACTATATGTACAGGATAACTAAGCTAATGATGTTATTTTTATAAAAGTTCACTGAATGTGTTTATAATATGGTGGTTTACGGCATCACTATATGGTTTACATTCTGAATTATCATTGGGCTGAAATTCGCAATCCACAAAATTCCAAACTGGCGCATCGTCAATACAATCTTCTTCGTATTCGTATCTCTGTTCTTGAGTGTCTATTACAGGGAAATTTCGATTATTTTCAAAAGGGTAATACTGTGCTTCTTCAGGGTTATAGTAATAGGGTGGATAGTTCTGCTGTTCGCAGTAAGCCTCCGCTTGCTGGTAGCCGTTCCCGAATATCTCCGGCGATGGAGCTTCACTAGATTCTGAGCCGCCGGCGGCCCGTTGCCATTCAAACCAATACGCGTCTTCGGGTCTGGAGTTGTCGTTAAGATCCACTAAATTCTGTGGTGATTCTACCGCCGATTCATCCATGGGGAAGTCTAGGCGGATCGGTTGATCTAATTGGAATATTTCTTCAGGATGGAAGACATCGTCAGCTGCTAATGCAGCGGGTTCGTATTGCTGTTGAGATATTTGCGCAAGGGCGGCGTGTATAGGTGGCGCGTAGGCACTGTAACTTTGCGGTTCTTCCGGGGACCATGGCGGCGCATTATAGGCGTCCCCAGGATCGTCTGTACGCCATCTACAGGTGCATTCGAAGGGAAGGCAGGCACACATGAAACCTGTTTAAAAAAAAATCATGATAAATATGTTGCAAGCACAAATTCTGATATAGTTTTGCTTTACGTTGGTCCTTGTAAAGTCTACTTTGTGAGCTTTAAAATCGAGTGGCAAATAAAAACTTTCTAAAGTTAAGATATAGAGACTAAAGAAATAAGTTTAATTTTTATAGCGTTTTTAAACAAAAACCAAGATTTACACTAGCGTAACGTCCACGCCAACTCCTTTCAATAAGATCACTTAAATTACATTATAATAAAGATCAGAAACTAAGAAAAGTAATCTTACCTCTCTGACTGTCGGGTATGAGCGGCGGTGGTTGCTGGTGAGGTGAGCAGATCCTTTGCGCCATTTGCTTTTCCGGTTTGACTCCCATTATTTTGTCTGCCATCGCGTCCTCTCTTGATATTATTAACGCTAGCCCGCGAATCCTTCTTCCAGCTCCTATAGATCTTCGTACTTCACTGGCCCCTTTAGCTTCAGGCTGAGGGTGGTCGTGCGCACCTTTCGCTTGGAAGAATATTGCGTGTTCCGTGTGCCGCCAAAAATGTGTAACCGGGTATCCGCAGTGACCACGACATTGTTGGACTTCAAGGCGGCCACCGTGGCAGAGTCGATTTGGGCAAGGTTTTCCTACAAGAAAGAAAGATTTTATACTCTTGTAGTTATTAAAACGATTTTCTATAAGATCAGAGGGCCTGTTCTGTTTGTACACGAACGAAAATTCAGGTAATTCCGAAACGTTCTTAAAATTTGTTAAAATGATATCCATGAGGGTTATCTGTGCATCAGAGGCAGTGTAAGGTCCTACTTCTATTGTATCATAAATTATCGAAAAGGATTTCTTTAAAGTCATATTAGCCTTTTGAATATAGACGAAATTTTGTTTTTGGACAAACAGAGTAGGCCTTCTATTCTATTTGAGAAAAATTATTTAAACGATTCAACGGTGAACGCAATGGACATTGAACTGACATGTAAAGGTTCCTAAATAATAAAGAAAATGTGCAAGGTTTTTTTCTGTTTGTTTTTCCATTTTCCTACAAATATTGTCAAAATTTTGATTTGGGCTCCTTATAATTAATTATGGGTATATAAGAAGGCGATAAGCACTGTAATAGTAGACAGCCAAGAAGTTTATAGCCATTAAGAATTTCTAAGACTAATTTTGTGTTACTGTGACGTTTACCAACCTTGCTGTTTCTTCCGCGCTTTGTCGCAAATAGCAGGTCGTAGGTGAATTCTTGAACCGTCAGCTAGTTGACATCTAGTTGAGCAGACTAGGACTCCTAAACAGCTCTTCTTGAGGATGTGCACGTTGTGATTATTGGTATTCCGCATTGCCCACCCTGAGGCGTGTCTGCGTGCTTCTTCGCAGGTGGGAGGGTAGACCTTTCTAACGTGTCCATCACACCACTCATTAAACGTGTCGAAGCTTGTGACTCTCGGGATAACCGCGTCATTTATATCCCATTCGGGTGCGTGTTGCCCTTCTGACATGTCAACGTTGCTGTAACGAAAATAAGATTGTCAAGAGAATGCAGACTCCGAAGATTTGGTACAGACAACAGCACGTTAGGTTGTGCAAAACTCAAATTTCCACACTCGACTTTAAACCTTTATATATTGAGTATGGATATCAAAATTATTTTCGGAAATTTTATTAATATATATTTGTACTCTGATTATGCAGCCGTGTGTACCAAGAAGTTTCAAGAAGTACAAATTAAGTTTTAGTGTAAGTATGTAGGTATTTATTAGTATTTTTGATCAACATTGATCAGAGATTTTTAAACAAAATCGGCTCGATAAAAAATGATTTATATGGTGTTTCTAACACTTATTTATGACTAATATATACCATCTATATAATCAATATAAATAAAGAAATATTTAACTTTGTGTAAAGAAAAGTCTGTCATATGGTTTTCATTCAGTCATATTTATGTATAGGTAATATTTAAATTGTCTTCCTTTAAATCAGCGATGTTAAATGTACATAATATTTGAAAAGAGATCCTGTCTAGTATTTTATTTACTTTCGACTCTTTACACAAGTAATTTATCCAATTAAGCGTGCCCCTCAGACAATTCCACCAATTGGCCCGACAAAGCCGAGGGGAGACGGTGCTTTACTTACTTTACATCGAGCAAATTTATGGAAATTGTCTAAAGATATATTTTAGTCTTAGTATTTTCTTTTTTGCATTTATGTTAGAAATGTATCTGATCTTGTAATGAGGAACTACTTAAAAAAAGAAAGCACAAAAAAAACTCTTCCGTTAGATGGTGATTCTAGCAAAAGTTGAATTTTGCAGGAAACGAATGGACCAAAGATAGTCATTTTCGTTCCTTTTAACAAAAATATAAAAAAAAAATTAAATTTGCAAAGTTAGAAACTGAGATATCAATACAAATAGAATATGAGTTGTTTATTGAGTTTTGAAAATTAATTTATTTTTATACATGAGAGAAAACCGGAAGGGTGGTCATGGAGAAATCAAGAAAGTACCGTAGCGACAACTAGTTCGATTTCGGGAACTAATGTTTTTTTAAATACTTTATTTTATTTTATTTCGCCCTATTTTGGCTATTTTATAAGTTACGAAGAATGAACTTTGATACATCCAAGCTGTCAACGTTATTAGTTTTGCTTTAATTGAATATTTTGGAGACAATACACGGTAAAGATTAATAGAAAGCCTTTTTATTAATTTTAAGGTACCTATGTGGTTTTTTAATACATAATAATTAATTTACGATATATTTAATGATTTTTCTAGTGTGAAAATGCGTATTATTTTATTACTAATCGTTAAACGAACTCCATTTGTAAGTGCATTTGAAGTAGTAACACAATAGGAGCTTCGTCACGCCGCCAATGAGTTTCAATTAAGCCCAATTGGGTACCCTGCACCTTCCCCAAGGCACCCCACTTTGACTACTTATTTATTTTATGGGCATATCGGCACATCACGGACCACTCGTTATTGACTTGTGTCTGTTCTAAAGAAGGAAGGGAACTGTTTGGGGACTCAACATCTTATAATAAAAAGTGGACTTAAGTTAGTACTTGGTTTTAAACCATTGGCTACCTAAAGCAAATTGACATAAAATTAAAAAAGAGAAAAAGTCAAAGTGAGTGGTGTTGACTTGTTTTAGTCTGTTAACGAATTTAAGTGGATAAGACACCCAATAAAAACTATTTTTAATGAAATGTGCTTCAAGTGGATTTTTTAAGCATTTCTCATTAAGAATATTTTTCGATATAGCATTGTTTACACATTACGATCAAATATAATAATAATATTTGTCTTTCGTTTAACTTTTCTAAATAGTTATCAAGGATTTTGCTTAGATAATGACAATTTGACTATATCGTTCATTCATTATGATAAGAAAACCTTTGCGAGTGGCATTCCTATTATATGTTAAATAGTTGTTCCTTTCAAATGTCAAATTGATGGGATTGTGATAGATTTTAAAATTAGAAAATTACCTACTTATGTCTCCGATACTGAAGATACTAGTTCTTGTCTCATAATAAGAGGGATATAGAAGAATATCGATGATATAGATTCTGATTAATATCCGAATTTATATCTGAACCATCAAGCGAACATAATTTTGTTACAAATATAATAGGCAAGATAGGAAGAAATTATAAAGTTGGTGGAAGGAGAACGTACGAGAATGAACGGGTATTCCTTTAATTCAGGGTTTCCCAGACTTATTTCGTTTACTGCCCACTTTTAGAATAAATTATATTTTAGCGTCCCCATTTTGTCACCTACTTAAAATTAAATTAATTGTTGTGAGCTATATTAGCGGAGATGAAACATTCATTTAATCGAGACTTTTACTATAACCAGCAAGAGTTAACTTGAAACCCGAATGCAGTAGGTAGTACACAAGTCTCTTATTAACCCTTCTTACGCCCCCATTTATTATTCTGGCTCTCGTATTGCCCACATTTAGGTTTGCAGCGTCCTCAAAGGGGCGTTATTGCCCACTTTGGGAAAGGCTGCTTTAATGTCACGCTTATTCTGCAATTATAATCTTTGATACTGTTCATTGTTGAGGTAATCTGTTTTTGGTTAATCGGTATATAGAAGCAATTCATTATGAGGTTTTTGGATATTCAGAATGAACATTAAATAAACAGCGTATATATTGAATATTTTTGGTTGTTATTATTTCCATTACATTTACTATCTTGCACGTAAAATTTCTTTACACATCATGAAAATTTAACATGATTATGAAACTAAGCCTTGAAGAAAAACCTCAGAGGTTTGTACACATGTGCTGGGAATAATATTATATATAAGTAAACATACATTCAAACAAATCGTAAATAACAGACATTAGAATAATAATAATAATAATAGGTGACCAAACAACACATACACTCGGCATAGTATTGAGTCACCAAGAACATCTAAATGAAAAACTTTTAGTAATCTTTTTTAAGTTGTTAGGACGTATACTCTGTTTTAGATGTTTTAATCTAAAAAGTTTCTATATAAATATATATTCCTATTTAACTGTATTCCTGTGAAATTCTAATTGGAATTACTTCAAGGAACTATGTATTACTATCTTAGTATCGAGATTAGGTATACTGTAAATATCATCAGTTATTATTACACATCTTTGTTCTGAATAGAGTGTAAAAACAAAAAGTAATGTCTTTGGGTGAAAACGATAGGAACTTCCAAAATATTAAGGTTGAATAAAATATAATTAAATTTTATCAATATAAGTACGGTTGTAATCCTGGGACCTACCGCTGGCATTGTCTCTTAATATTGTTTTAATTTTACCTAGCTTTACAATTTTGACCTTGTAAAGGCTAATTTTAAACTTGCACAAATGATGACCTACTTGTTTTTGTTGAACTGAGACAAAAATATGTTTCCGAACTTAGCAGATAATATAATAGCAGATAATGTGGTATTGTTTAGAAAATCACTTCATTATATTGTTGTGAGACGGCCATAGCAAGAATTTAAACGTAAAAGCTTAAACAAAACATTGTTTAAAAGTTGTATGAGTAATATAATAGGTAATGGGTTAGCTTTTATTTATGGCTTTGTGTGGTTTTTGGGGTAATAAGTAGATATTATTGATATTTAGAAAAAAAAACAGCTTATGTCCTACTTATAAGCCATAAAAGCAGCTTATGGCTTATGTATTAGTGGTATTAATAGTTTATGTATTAAACTGGTTATATATAGTTCTGTTTTTCCTATCCGGCCAATATTATCGGACCAACTAATGGGTCCTGGGACGACGTGATGGGTTATTTTAAGGCTGCATCTTAAGACAAATGAGAAGTTGAGACAAAATTAAAAACGCCTATCAATGAGACGGACGGACAGGCGTATTGCTCGAAATAAATATTTTTTTTAAATTTAATGATCGCAAAATAAAGTAAGTGATACGCATACGTATCAATTTCCCCTATAATTTGTATAGTATAATAGCATAATTACGAAAAGGAATTTACTCAATTATTTTTTTCAGAGACCTAACTTTATTTTTTTTGAGATTTTTTGTAATTATAATATTTGATAAATTTTGCATTCATAATGCTATCATCTCAGAGTGCCAGGGACAAAGTGGATTTTTATGCATTTTTCATAAAAAAAAAAAATTAATTTATAACTTATTTGGACGTTAAAAAATCTTTAAAAGTGTATTTAAATTTCTTTTAGGACTTTTCTTAATCAGGTTTAAGATCAGTTTGACGATAGTAATGTGGACAGATTGATGGACAAAGTTAAATATTTGTATAGGTAAAATAGTACTCGGGTTGGAAAAACGCCGTAGGACCTACCCACGTTTCTGGTAAAACAATATTGCCGTACCTTTTACAAAAGAATAAAATTTTACAAAAGAATTAAAAAGGAACATAAGCTATTACTTTATTTATTATTACTTAATATTAGGAACTGATTAATGAAAAGCTTTTTATAAATCCTTTTTCAGAAAATTTTAAAATAAATGCAACAGAATTTTGTTGTCTACAAATATTTCGCTTTATCCGTCTGTCTGTAATTAAAATATTTATTAAATACACTTGTTAAATGAAATTTTGAAAAGAAACATGGAAATTCACAAAAAATCTCTGTATCAAAATTAATTTGAATAATAATTTCAATTCAGAGTTTTATTTGCGAAATATTGGCACAAACACAGTATTTTTAGTTCTATAAATACCCTGTTAAAGTTAAGATAATGTCCCCTGTCAGAAATCTATTATAGTATACCTACAGGAGTATTATTATATTTCGTTGATTAATATGACCGTGAAGTTAAAGAAAATTTAAATTAAAATAAAATAAATATACTTTACTTTAAGTGTGAAAAAAGAAAAATATAACATATCACTATTAATAAAATAAAATTATCTAAGCATTAAAATTTTTGATATCTCACAGAATATTATATTTTTACACAAATGTTACTTTACAATTATTATACCTACATACTTT